CGTAAAAGGACACTAAAAGGAATTACGAGGAAACGAATAAAGCATGAATATTGTGCATTTATCATTGTAATAAGTTTGCTAAGAGATTACAATTAAAAGCTGTACAATTGAATGTTTCTGCCTCGTTAGAAATATTTCAAACAAACGATTTTTTAAAAAGAACTTTCCCATTTCACGCGCCATTTTCACAACATACAGTTCATGTAATTGAAGCAGACGAACAATTCGCCTGCTTTTGTTATCAAGATAACATCCTGTTATAATTGTTATATGTTGTACAATTTATTTTCATTGATAATATTATCATGGTACAGGTAATCTTTTACCGATTTGCTTCTATTTCGTAAGTGCGATAATTACAACTGATTAGTTTTTACGTATACACCGGTTGATAATTACTCAAAACAAAGCATTTCCATCACGAACAAAGAATATTTTAACATCAGTTCTCTAAGAAAGCAAACGTGAAAAAATAAAACAATTAAAGCAAAATTTGTTTCTGTTCCAAACGGCAATTGCAAGGGGTTTTTTTCTGTTGAAATGTATTTCCGGCAAATGTTTTCTTGACAATGTGTTTTTGGTATTTGCAATTATTTTATTCCGTGTACTTCTTCCGCACACGAATTAATCATAACTCCTGGTAAAGTTTCACAATGTTTTATTAAAGGAGAGATGCACTTTTAAAATACATTACAGATGAAGTTTAAATCACGCAATCAAACACTGCACATAAAGTGTTGAATTTGGCACTGTCTGTTAGTTGTTATGATAATACAAAACAATACTGTTGAAGATAGATGGAGCTGAGGATGGGCAAGATGGTTGACCTTAACCAAGGACCTATAAAACAGAACATAACTTTTATTTCTTTGATTTGTTCATAGTACATCATCATATACATCATATTATTTCAGGGTAATAAATACATTTCAGTGCGAGCAATCAATGCAATAATATAAAGAGCGGACAGCACTTTCAAGTGTCCGTTTCTTTACACAGTGCACTTTAAAGGTTTGGGTTGAGGGTGGTATGAAGATCTAAAATTCTGTCCATCTGTCCCGCAAAGCGTTTGTTATCAAAGTAACAAACAATGGACGGTTTATACATACAGGTTTTCGGGTGGGTACGTGATGTGCCGAATTGCTTTGTGCCAATTTGGTCAATGGCACGTTTCTAAGATTCTATTCGGATCCATACGCTGATTATAAGTAATTCTCATTGGCAACAGAAAAGGTAACTCCCACTCCTTTAAATGGGAGGGAATGGAAGAGCGTCATCTAAAGACTAAATCTACACGTCTTCCTCTTTTTGCGAACATCAAGTTCACCGGCTATGCAGTGGAGCCTGAATTAAGCTTGGCATTGAATCCGGTGTAACCTGACTTTTGCCAGATCTTTAGATCATGGATAAACAGTAATATCTGCTATTCAGCAATAATTTCAAATGGTCATAGAAGATAGATGCCAAATTTAATTCTTCTAAATTGTGACCTTCAAATGTTCATAATTACACCGTAAACACACTTTCGCAGCTTTAGCATAAAGGATTATATGCATTATTTTTTTTTCCTGTTATTTGTCCCTTTGGTGGTAAATTAAGTAAAATTTCTCAAATCATCAATATAATTGAGCCGCGTCCACGTATGTATTACAAAATCAACATAAGGGTTTTGCGACCAACATGGATCCAGACCAAGCCGCCGCATCCGCGGCCAGTCCTGATCAGGACCATGCTGTTCGCTATCAATTTCTCTATTTGAGATATAAAAGGTTTGGTAAGCGAAACAGGCATTGGGGGTTCGCCTGATCCAAGACTGCGCGAATGCGCAAAGGCTGGTCCTGGATCCAGGCTGGGTCGCAAAAACCCCCTATTAGTTTGGTTTTGTCGTGACGCGGCTCAATTATAAGAGAAAAGCGACTTGCAAGTGAAGACAGCTGTCTGCTGCCCTCTTTAAATGTTGATGGACGAGATGTCGGATTTCCCACCACGTTACTTTTAAACTGTCAGTTTGTTTAGATTTACATGTCGCAAAATATTAGCAATTGATTGCTCATTGAAGAAGCTCTTTTGATTTATCTGTTTTCTTGTTTTTTTCCTTTTCGGCAAATAGTTTGTACTTTAAACGCTTAGCATTCCGAAAATCCATCACGAAAATATTAAAAAATTATTGAATGTATGTTAAAGATTGTAAGAATTTAGCATTTATGCACGATTAATTCGCTATGTAACCTACAACTTATTAGAACCGAACGTTATTAGCCTTTGCATCTTGTATAGAGTCAGGCCAGCCTAGACATTCGTGTAGCCAGACTAGACGCTATACTGATTGCTAACTTACACTAATGTTTCATCTTGAAATTCCCCCAAAATTGGTAACTGGATAATTCCCAAAATGGAAGCTGGACAAATATATTTAAGAAATTCAGAAGTTGATGGGTTTGAAAGAAAAATGGACTTGAAAGTGCTCTCCCCTCTATAGGTCCTTTATTAAGGTCAACCGCCTTGCACGTCTCTCACTAAAACATTTAGTAAAATAACATGATATAATGGGATGTGAAAATGATAAAGCTAACCTCGATGTATTTATTTCATTTATTTATGCTTGTACATCTTTATATTGTCCAAATAAAAAAAACTTGAAAATTGTTGTAAACCATGCATGTACTTCTTTGTTGTTGAATTACTTGCTAATAAAACAGCAAAATGATATGTCCGTATCTTACTGGATGATTGAAATACCTGATGCATGAAACATTAATATCCGAGAATAAATACCGAATAATTCCGAATGTGCCTTTGAACTGTCGAATTTTGCTTACTGCAACCTCAATAAAACGCTCATTATTTTTATTGCACGCTGCGAAATGAGTACAAAGCATATGCGATATATTTTCATATGTTGGAAATACAATAAATTAATTGTTATATGGATAGTATAGGTAATAAATCAAACACCGTTAAAGAGTATTGTTTTACTTTACATTTCAACCACCGGATGGAAACGTATGAACTACTTGAATACAATCAACTAACCGTCTTGAATATAATATAAAAAGATATATCAAATCCTGAATTAAAAGATAATATATATAACGGTTAATACGTATTAAGTAAATTATTGGCGCCTGTGCCTTTAAAGCGTCAATATCTCATCAATCTCTCTGATATATCATTGTTTAATATCATATCCGCTGACCTTAATTATCTTATGATTTGATTGTTATATTGTTATACTCAAAGCCTATAAAATCGTTGATTAAAGAACAATTCATTGATATTTTTTTTCTTTTTATATACATGTATGTTCTTGAGATGAGTTTCCTCGTCCGAAATAAAACATAACATGATATACAGTACACAGTACAACCTGTGGAAAACAACATTCTTAAAAGAAGAAAAAAAAAGTTTGGCTGTTGTTAAGAGGTGTTACTTAAGAAAGTGTTTCAATCATGGTGAAGTTTTATTTTAGGGAACAGTTAATACTGTTGTAATAGAAAGGTGTTGCTGTCATATAGTTGGTCGCTTTGCAGAGGTTACACTGTATTACACTAATTATCGAAAACTTTCGAAAATCTTTCTGTTAGCATATATCATTTTATATGATATCATATTTGTTTATACTCACCCAAGAGTCATTAGAGTCATTCAACGTGCAATTGAAACCTTTCATGTTACTTTTATCTATATTTTTAGGAGTAACCGGAAATATCTGAGTAAAGTTCTGTTGAAGATTCTCGTAATATAAGAAATACACTTCATGAAATAAAAACACATGTAAAAATTAAGCGTTTTTGGAGCCCTCATGGCCGATTGGTTTAAGGTCGTTGACTTCAGATAATTTGCGCCTCACCCCTTTGGGTTCGAGTCCTGCTAGTGACTTTGAAATTAATCTTACTAGGATAATATTAAGCTAGATTAAGGAAGGTCGGTGGTTTTATAAGAAATATATTAATGTGTGTATATTAAAATGTAATACATATAGAAATTACTGAAAGATTAAGAGAAAAAGAACGAGAGCAATATTTGATTAGGATATTAAAGAGATTTTGCTGCAAGAAAAGATTAAATATCTATCAAATGTAAGTTAAGGAATTATAGTGCTTAACAACTTTCTAAGAACCCGTATTAGATACTCAAGTTTTCTTATTCATCCGTCTACTAAACTTTATTTCATTTATTCTACAGTGTTTGATCTACAAGAAGAAGAAAGACTTTTAGTCAACCCTTAACAAAGTTCTGAAATATCTGTGAAAGTTAAATGGTAAGTAGTCGTTTTTGATTGATGTTGTTGTTAGAGATACTCCTCGGCAAATAAATCTTTAAAGTCAAAACTTAACAAACCGGTTTGTTTAAAAAGGCATTAGTATGCAAGTTTGTAAGTGTTTGCTTTTAGAAAGTCGAGGATATGGTCAGTAAGGCACCAGTGTTTAAACTACAACAAAACTTCACTTGCTTATATCACAAACAAAATCTTCTGATATTTTCTTCCTTTAGCAAACAGCTGACGTCTCTCATATGTTCCGCGTTATTTTGATATGATTTGCACCTCGAAAAACAAAATTATAATAAAACGATGTATCGTTATCGTTAATTATTTCGTCTTTGTGTTACCTCGGTATTCTTCGGTGTTCTTCAACATTCTTCGGTTATCAATATTTTCCACATTATCGAACGATAGGATTCGTTATCACGTGCAAAGATAACGTAATCGATTAAAATCACGTGACTAAGTCTTCTATTTTTAAATATTCTTTAAAACTAAAGACTATTATAATGCCATTAGACCTTTAACAAGATAATGAGTTTAAATTTTAAGAAAATCTCTCGTTTTTTTTTATCGTTTAAAGCACTGAGGGTTTTTTTGACATGACGAAACTAAATAATTTTTCGAGATTAACATTCCATTTGATGTGGGTCTAGACCAATAACTTGTGTGCACAATTTCAGGTCATTCGCTCTCTCTGTTTTCCCTAAATAATTATTTTAATTGTGAAAAATGACCCAAAATTGAAAAGCGTTGCAACGCTTTTCACCCAATATATCTAGAAACAGCAAAGAAAAAAAAACGATCTTCAATTCATTTCTGAGTAGATTTGCATATTTTTTTCTGTTTTATAATATAACATATTATTTTACATTATGAAAATAGACTTAAGCTTTTTTTCAATCTAACTGGTTATTTTTCTTAATTCTGAAGAATTCACTTTGTGTTATCTTTCACAAACATGAAGATTTCTCAAAATGTAATATGAATTTATTCCTTGTAGCAGTGTGCTTTTCTATTTTGAGGAGTGCAATATTTTAATTATTGCAACGTTATCACAGAACGAGGCATAAATCTAAGGCTATAACACAATTATCACACCATCATCTCAGAACGAGGCTTATATCTTATATTTTTATCATTATTGTCCTCGTATCACATTTAAATCAACATATTTATTTTCGCATGAAGTCAATTTCAAAATTACCCAAATTTAATCATACAGGCATTTATGCATTGATATTCTATATGTTTGTAAACACTCTGTTTCATTTGTTGAATTATAAACCGAGCATTAAGATATTTTACTTGATAAGACGTGAAATTATGTTGATTTAATAGACACGGCATGTGTTTTAATGGGCATATTTTTGTGCAATTATTCTTAACGATTTCTCCAATTCTGAAGATATATTTACCCCTTAAGTGTTTAATGAAAACTTATGTATTTTCGAGGTTGCAGTAGGAGTTTCTAGGACGTAGTCACGTGCTGGTGTGAGGGACGCTTATTCTATTATAAACGACGTGAATTTCTCCTGTAATTCGTTAAATGTGAAGTGTAAATAATTGTTTTTATTGCATAATCTCTAGCAACAAACATACAGGAATTACAATACAGAATATATCATAAGATCTTTGAAAGGTATCACCATATCTCTACGCAGAGGAAATAAAATACGTCATAAACCAAATCAGAATATATCAACCCGCTGAATAATTTGCTAATAAATATTTGTAAACAAAACAAATGCATTTCGCGTTCTCCATACCACTACGTTTTTAGAATACTTTGCGCATTTTTAAATATTTCTTTCAAAAGAATGAAGCTCATCGTACGAATTGTTTATCTCATGCAAGAGATAAAATATTTGAGTTAATACAATGTCAGAGCGTTGAGGCGATAGTTTCGGGTTTCAAATTTATTATGGTCGTTTGTCATAAAATTTTTGACTTCGCATAAACCGATGGTTTTGTGACAGATAACGTGTTCATGGGACCTATTCAAAATTTGCATGCCCGGTGTCACACTGTATGATATATCGTGAACACGATGACCACTTAAACCGAATTAAAGGCATGTATATCTATTCAGAAAAAGTTGAGCCTATCAAATAATCTGGTATTTGAGAATTTGATACACGGACCCGATGATTTGAAGATTTGTTGATAGTTTGATACTATAATAAGCGAATATCACGCAATCTGAGTTTTTTTATTGTTAGTATTAATGTAACTCTTTAAATAAACGAATAATAAAATACTTTGCCTTCTTATCTGGTAAAATTAAATCTTATAATTAAAATACTTCACATTTATGCATGCATACATGTAATTGTCATATTATATATTTGTTTCAATTCATTACGATACCAAAGAAGGGAGACAACTTTGTTTTTTATATTGACAGTAATATATACAGAGTTACGCCGCATGACAAAAATAACACTTTTTGTCTTTCAGCTCAACAATGTGGAAGGTGCCTTGTTTGATAGTCTCCCTTGTTATTTTACAAGTTCAAGCACTGGGTATGTTACAAATCAAAGCACTTTATTTGTGACTGAAAATATGAAAACAAAATATCAGTATAGCTCAATGAAAACGCAAAATTTATGTGATCAAAAATATGAACAACTGGAAATGACGTTTTTTTTGTCAAATCTGATATTCTGTTAGAAAAAAGGCACAACTTGAATAAGATTTAAAATATATTTTATAAGATTATTATACATGACACAGCCAGAGCTTTTAAGGCCCCGTCTGGGTAACCCCGCTTATTTACCATGTAATAGGTATGAGGGGGTCGGGGTCATCCCCCATCATACCTTACATTTTTAACATATGTTTTACATAATAATCGCGGTTATTAATAAAAATAATATCCTTTTATCAAATATACCTATATACCAGTTAATGTACATATACACAGAGCAAAATTGTTTTGGTACATTTTCGATATACATTTATTTCTACTGTAACGTATTGTTATATTGTATTTTCAGAATTATGCCAGACTCAACTTGGATATGAATATTTCATTCAGAATATCATGGAAAATACTCAACCAAGTAACTTTAATGTCTTTATATTTTGATCTTAGAGTTCATATTTGATCAAATTTATCATATTGATTCTAAGCTTAACTGTGATACACTTTTCGTCAATCGCTTTTTAGTGCCCCACATTGAACCAATCAGTACTAGAATCGTACAAGACCCAAAATTGGGCTCGAACCCATGATACCTAGCTTATAAAGTTACCTTCACAATTTGATCACTGTTCAACTCAAAAGCTTCTTTATTAAACTGATGTTGTTGTTCTTATATATTTTATTTGAACAATTACTTTATTCTATGATCATAATACACTTGTAGAGGAGAAGATTAGGCTATCTAAATTTCATATATTAATCTTGTAATAAAAATCTATTTGAATTTGCATAGCCTAAATTGCTATGTCCATCCATTCTTAACCTTCTTCTTTTCAGAAACTGTTATTGGTCACGTGATCATCGAGGGTGACGTCAGCCAGATAGAAATAGTCCAGGCTGAGCATAGCTATTATTCGTTTAACAATTTAACCCGAAATGTGACATTAGAAAACGAACTGAATACTGATCAAAACGCGGAAGAGATACCACCTCTTATACTTAATTGTAGAAAAGTTGGAACATCGCAGCAGGAATCAGGCTGGGTATGTCACAATTGTAGTTAGTTACGTCACAAACGACGATTTCAGACAAAATGTAAAAAAAAAATGTTATTCTTCTGCTATCTCCAACGCAGAGGTCTCCCCTTACATGATTAGTTACTTGCCATTGCGCAAACTGGTGCGCGGAGAATGATTTTTCTGTTCATAATATGAGACAAAAACAAACTTTAACGTAACATGATGGTGACGTGACATCATCACACGTAACGTTTTCAATGTCTTGTCTATATGTATATCACGTTAATATTATAAAAAATGATAATTTATTACATCATATCTGCAGATGATTAAAGTTTGTTTCAATAGTAAAGGTGCTAACAACTATCCAATAGATTTAAGCAATCTTTATTAATTTATATTTACCACATAGTTATAATACATTGCACAATTCCTTTATAATAAACAGTGACAAAAAGTAGATATATTTTCGTTATACTGAATAGAATAAAAATATATAGAATAATGGAATCCCTTAAGAAAGTCGAAAAAGGCCAAATTGCAAATATCGCAGACTCGATTTTGATTGACCCTGCTCATAGACTGTAGGGATTAGTGCTAGCTACCGTCTACGCCCCCTAAAACCGGTTTAAGCAATAATATGTCTATAATAATTTTTATACGAAAGATTGATTGGGACATTTCAACTTTATGAATTTCCGATTTCCTCATCGTGAATTCATAATTTGAACTTGATTTTATCTTCACAAAGTTGAAATCGTAAATTCACGAAGTTGAAATCGTGAATTCACGAAGTTGAAATCGTTAATTTACACATTTGAATTCGTAAATTCGTGAATTTGAAATCGTGAATTGATGAAGATGAACCCGAGTATTGGCAAGTTGAAATGTCACCACCGGTCTTTCGTACTTATATGGTATAAGGTATAGGTCTTGTATTTCCATTCATATATATATATATTAAAATTTCTAAATTTCAGCTACAGATAATTGTGAATGTCTTGGTAACTGATTGGAATGACAACCCACCAGTGTTTAATTCCAAACAACATAATGTATCTATCTCCGAGGTAATGTGCCTTAGATATTGTCCAGCCTTTTTTTCTGTAAAAGTTTTCGCTGGCATGCATTTTCGTGCAGTTTAAAGATCATTTATGATTTAATGAGATAAAATTTGAGTTTCTAGCTGTCTTGGTTGTTTTTAATTATATCCATTCTAAACACTTTAGATGTGTTAGTTTTTAGATAAGCAATGATATTAAATATTTGTAATATTTATGGTAAATTAAATGCATGTTTCGAACATTCTTAACTTTTTCAAATTAAACATACTTGCCGACCTACCATATAATCTAAATCAGAACAGTTAACCCTTAACCTGCTATATTTCTATAATGGATCCGTCCACCTTTGAATTTGAAACAGTCAATTCAAAGTTCAAGGGATTTCAATAAATTGAACTGACAACAGTATAGAGCATGCCTGGTCAGACTGCATGGATGTGCAGACTGGCCTTGCTCTATACTGGTCCCAAAGGCTGAACACATTTAGTTCCAGCAGGTAAAGGGGTTAAACAAACTAAAACTATTTACATGTGATGTAATTTTCAGGATTCTCCAGTTGGAACAACAGTTTATTCCGGTATAAGTGCTACAGATGCGGATAAAGAATTCGGCGGAAACAGCCGATTGACTTTCCGAATTATCCCGAACCAAACGTATTCTGTAAGTTACTGTGTTTAATAAACTTTAAGAAACCTTCAGGGCTTTTAATTCAGTTAGAGAAGTGTGTATAACATTTTGACATATTGGTCAGCTATTATGTACATTAACGAAAAAAAAAATACTTTAAGAAAGATACATTCAATGAAATGATTCGAAGCAACTAACTTACTGAACCGTTTATTTCAAACCACTTGCTCCTCACCGCTGTGGGTTCGAATCTCGCCAGTGTCTTTGAATTATTTCAGTTGATGAAGCCATCCAGCTGTTGTTTACGGAATGCCGTTAGGGCCATTGCCTATTTATGTGTTGATCTGAAACGCGATAGTCGATAGTACGATGGTGAAAACGCGAAATCACGAAACTACGATGGTGAAAACGCGACAGTACGATGGTGAAAACACGATAGTTTATCGCGTTTTCATTATCGTACTGTCGCGTTTTCATCATCGTACTTTCGCGTTTTCACCATCGTAGTTTTAGTGATTTCGCGTTTTCACCATCGTATTATCGACTATCGCGTTTCAGATCAACACATTCATAGGCGATGGCCCTAACGGCATTCCGTAGTTGTTCTACTCAGGTGCCCGTTCACCATAAATAACGCACGAATAGGGCACCTGAGGTCTTCATCCATCAATAAGCTGGAAAGTCGCCATATGACCTACACTGCGATGGTGTGACGTTATTAAAACCAAGTTATCAAACACTAACTGATAGGTCTCATCAAAAGCGTGAAGCAAATCATTTTAGATTGGAAACTTAAAATCATAATTATGAAGTTGAGCACCTTTTATTGAAATCATAATTAATATATTCTATGTTTAACTGAGATTATAAATGAGGTTTTTCTTTAAATTATTGTATACGTTTATTTATAAAGATATAACTTAATTTTTATGAAACATAAGTTAACATTTCATTTAATTTGGCTGATTATATTTCAGGATTTTTTCCTAATGGAAGTGATAACCAAGCCTATAATAACGTTGGGAAAGCCGCTAGATTACGAAACGATAACTAAAATGATAATTTTAATTGAAGCAACGGTAAGTGTGTTTTTTCTGTCAACACAAATGACATGTGTAATATTTTAAAATTCATTTTAATATCAAATTTTAGAAATATCCAAATGTGAATACCATGAGTTTATATTCAATTCTTTTTTTTCAAAAAGTGATACTCGTTATTACTTTTGACTGCGTATTTTGATAAACACGTGATTTGCATCATAGTTGAAGTAAAGGCGGTCCTGTAAGACGTTAAAGCTACTATCCCACACTTTGAAGTTTAGGCGTTTTTGAATTAAAATATCATCAAAACATATAATTTCACCACAGGCTTGTACATTTGTATGGAACTAGAAGATTAAAACATGTCTGGTCCGACGGAAAAAAAAACAACATCTAAACGTTTATCATGCTGAATGTAGAAACTGCAAATTTTACTTCTATGCATATTTAATGACTGTTAACATTTTTTTTAGATCCGTTTTGTGTGGAAGAGTAGCTTTAAGTTGTTATATATTCTTATACCATAGTGGCCTAAAATTCTTTTTGCAGTCACTTCTGGTAACGTTTTTTGAATGTTCATAAATAAAATGAAATGACACAAATGGTCTTACTATAAAGACTTAAGGCATTGTTTGCCGTTTTGTTATTACAGGATTCGCCAGCTGCTAATCGAGGCGCTCAACAAACTTCCACGGCAACATTGACCGTGAATGTTATTGATGCCGATGATTTGAACCCAGTGTTCTCCGAGAAAACATACAGAGGTGTTATAAGTGAGGACGCTAAACCTGTAAGTCCACCTTCATAAATCGATCACAATATATCATACAGTTTTATATAAATCTTAAATCGATCACAATATATCATACAGTTTTATATAAATGTTTACATATGTTTCTTCATATATTATTGTATTATTTATATATTTGCATAGTTAGTACTCAGCATAAAATAAATAAATATGTAATAATGTAAAATGTATTTAGAAACAACAAAAAAAAAAAAATAAATAAATGAACAAATAAATAAATAATTGTTCATCCGTCGTCATTTTTTTCTTTACATATGTCGATTTAGAAATTTTCTTATTTATGATAACATGTTCAAGTCTTTCCTTTTATTTATTTGTGTATTGTATAGTAGAGAGTTTACTTACGTTTACATGTTTTGTTTGTGGTTTCAGGGTACTATTGTCAAAGTTACGTCTCAGATTATAGCACGTGACCCAGATTCTATGAATGTTCCAGTTACATACAGACTTCTCGGTAATTCCTATTTTCCTATTCGATTCTAATGTAGAAAATAATGTAGGCCTTTTCAAAGTAAGAAAGAAATGTCTTATATTAAGATTTATTTTTGAACATTCAACTGTCGTCACTTATATTTGGCACACAAAGTTTACATTGACGAGTGTATGAAAATACACTTAGGGAGAAGGCCTACTGTTGATAATTAAAAATTACAAATATTGAACTGTATCGATAGTATATATCCTATAAAAATGTGCAGACACTTGGGGTTTGGAGCTCAAAACGCCTTAAAATCCACACCCAAATTTTTTGCGCAGAAAAAGACTACAAATGCAAACTGCAGATGCCACGAGCTGTATGGTAACTCTAAAAAATTGCCCCGTACATCTTCTTTGCTGGCTTATGTTTTATTATTAAGTTTCGCCAGGGCATTAGATTAAATTGATGGTCCCAAAAGCTTTTATTCTCATCAAAACTTTTCCATGTTTTTCCATATGCTTGATTTTATATCCCTTCAGATCCGTATGACTTTTTCGCCATTGATAACACGACGGCAGTCATTAAGAACAAGAGGGTGTTTGATGTAGATGTTCCTACACTCACTGTTGTTGTGTTGGTAAGCCTTGTTCATAACAGAAACAAAGATGTTGTAATATTAAAACTTATATTTTACGTCTAACGCACGGTAAAGTAGCCCTTACGTCGAGTGTAAAATTATTAGAATTTGGTCAATAAGTACATATTAAATATACATTTATTTAGTGTAATATTTGTTATATTTTGAAACATATGAGTTATCTTTTAGTTAATACATTTTTGGAAGTGTAAACTGCAACATCTTTCACTTTTGACAATGTGTTCTTTTCTAAGTCGCGTTCTGATAATTATCTTGCTACTGGCGGCAACTGATTATCTTCACGTGCGGCCAGTGCAGACAAAGATCAGCCAGCATTTGATCATAGTCTGCCCATTATTTAGTCTGTTCTAATTTTGAAAAAATACACAATCATGCGAATCCAAATTTGTATTGTTTTGTCCAGATCTAAATATCCACGTTTCTATTTAATTAAGATATAAATTAAGATGGTATTCGTTGACAATCACCAAGAGTGTAAACGATTCGTGCTACCTATTTTAAGGCTGTGATGATATCATTTTTAAATAATGTACTAATAAATTTATGAACAAAAACAAATATACATTACACGTGTATACCTTTATTTTACATCTAACAGGCGTCACAAGTGGATAATGCAAATAGAGAATGGTTTGCCATGTTGACAATCACCATATCGGAAGCAAACATCAATGCTCCAAGCTTTACAAAAACCATATACAAGGTCACGAGGACAGAGCTGGAACCAATCGGATCCGTTCTTATAACAACGACAGCCAAGGACCCGGATTTTGTAAGTTTCTATTGATAGAACAATTCAAGATTTGTGTGCTAAAAGTTTGTCACAGGAAAAACATTTAGAATTATAAATGAGCTACGTAGCAAATATATTCACGCATTTCTTACATTTTGTCACAAATTTTGCGCATTTTTTTTCTGTTTGTTTTTTACTACAAAGTTATTTTCAGTCTTGACAAGAATTCGGGTTGTCTTTAGTGATATTTTGCAGACTTTATTTATTTACCGTACACGTACTAGATTTTTAGTCTATCTTACATTTTTGACATACAAATTTACCAGAACAGCTATTCTTTACTTATAACTTGCAAATCACTATAAAGAAATAGTTCGAAAAATATTTAAGAAAGTGATGTAAAGTATATATATCTTATAAATAAAGTTTCTGTTTTATATTGAATGAAAATAAGCAATAGTTAAGCGATATACAGATATACACTGTAGAAATAATGGATTTTGTAATAAAGTCTAAATAAGTAATGGTTTGAAATAGATTAGATGGAACTAAGAATATAAGTGATTCAGCAGAATCAAGTTTACAACTAGAGTGTAACCTGTTCAAAGCAACACCCTTTTTGAGAGACATCAAATTTGGTCGTTGCCGAGAGGTGTCGCTCTAGAAAGGTTAAATTTATAGCAAAGTCTTGCATTTGGGAAGAATTTTAACTGTTGTTATCGAGAGGTAACCGCTCTACAAAGGGGGTCGTTATACAGAGGTTACACTGTAGTTGTGAATTACATATGCATTTATTGAAAATAGATTGAAATGTTTAAGGCAGTAGCGCTTATATTTATAAACTTGTAATTCATAATCAGATGTTTTAATATATTGTTGTATAATAATTATAACACTATATGGTGATGTAATATGAATTGATGTAAACAAATAGAAATGTGTAATGATTCAGAAAATTCTGACATGCAATGAAGCTCTTATTATTTCTAAATCACAAAAAAAGATATTTATTAATAATGAAAATAATCAAAGGTGTCTTTCTTGACTTCAGAATGACGTTTCACACTTGAAAACATCTTTCTGTTCTTATAATGTTTTCTTTTCAAAATCTGTTTCACATATTATTTTTTTATATAATGTTGTCTAAATTCAGTCAATTCATATTGCATTTTACTTCCCATACAGTGAAAACAAACGACAAAAACAACCGAGAATTTTTCAATTTGAACCAACAACTAAGTGTTGTCTGCTGCAAAAACCATTAAAATTAATGTTTGTCGCTTTTGCAGAACATGGCCCTACACAAGGAAAATGTATTTAATGGAGTTGAAATATGTACATTGTACCTCGCCTGTTTCGAAGAAAAAGTCGAGCTATTACGATCGCTGCGTCGTCGTTGCCGCCGTTGTTGCCATGGTCGTCTTGCAAAACTTTAATATAGCCCATTATTCAAACATTTAAAATTATGTAACTTGAAATACTTGTTTATCTTGACAAGATGCATAATTCTGAAGGCTTTAATTTTTTAATTATGTCCCTTTTAATGGAGATTTTTTGTCAAAAGTGGTTAACAGACGAGCGTTAACACCGCGTGCGGTCCTTTTGTTAATTACAATAACTGTTCTTATTAAAACAGACCTTGGTTTGGTTAAAAAGGGGAGCGGTGGCCTAGTGATTAAGTTGTCTGCCTCTCAACTCAGAGATTATGGATTCGAGCCCTACTCGAGTTACGACCATGTTTTTTCATATGACTCCAGTACTGGTTGGTTCCAAGAAGCGGACTCGAAAGGCATTAATATAAGTTGCAAGAACTTGTTTCCTTATCTAGCTTAAATAAATATGTTTGAATCAAAACAGACCTTCTTGGTTCAAAATGAAAAATTCTCTAATATTATTTGTGGTGCATGTTTTAGTTTGCTTTTTTATATCTTGGTTCAGCGCTGTAGACAGTTAGAGATTTACGTTGAAATTGTTCTGTTTTTCAGAAAACTATTACAGTACGGGTAGCTTGGTATACTCTATCTGGTCTCCCTGCTTTTACTTCCGGTTTCAGCTCGCTAGTTTCTTTTTCTAATATTAACCATTGCTATCCATGTATATTTTGAACTTATTTACCATATTTCCACATATGAATTAAAAGTTCACGCTATTTCTACATCGCTAACATAATGCATTTGATGGCCCAAATCATTGATAGTTATAACAATACTTCCGTTTTAGCATTTGAAATAATATGCTATGATAAAATATTTCGCAAGTTTATCGTTTCTTGCTCTAGCTTGTGTTTCATTGAGCAGTCATTGTTTAGTACTGGTTGGTTCCGGGAAAGGAATAAGCTTATAAGCTTATAGCTTCCTACACAATCACACTAAAATAACTTCTTAAAAAAACTAAGTTAAACGTATATATATCACTTTACCATTTTTGTATTTCCTAAACACAAAGTTTGTATAATGCTAAACTCTATACATTTCATCACTGACAATGGTAATCTAAAACAATTAACAAACATCTATTATCAATACATTTGGGTATTCCTTAAAAAGTTTTGAAAGACGGAATATTCGTCATGAAATTTCAATTTTTTAACCTGTACCACTGAAATTTTTTTAAATGGACTTGTCCATCTTTCAATTCGGACAAAACCATTCATCATTTAAAGGGTACATTTAAAAAAATATTGAAGTGCAGATCTTGATCAGACTGCAAATTATCAATACATCTGAGTATTCCTTAAAAAGTTTTGAAAGACGGAATATTCGTCATGAAATTTCAATTTTTTAACCTGTACCACTGAATTTTTTTTAAATGGACTTGTCCATCTTTCAATTCGGACAAAACCATTCATCATTTAAAGGGTACATTTAAAAAAATATTGAAGTGCAGATCTTGATCAGACTGCAAAAATGTGTCCAAACTTTAAGCATGTGTAAATTCAGTCGCCGCCAGCTGGTTAAGGGTTAATATAAGGAGCCTTTGCAGTTATATTAGTTACATTTGTGAGCATTCGAATTATCATTTCAATTGAAAAATCGCTTTAGCTATTGGTATCCCCCTGATTTAGCTTGCTAAGCACTAAATATTATCAGCTTCCCTTGTAAATTAGTAGTTTTTTTTCATCATTTTTTCCATATTGTCAAGAGCCAAACCCTTTGTATTATTGTTGATGATGTACGTTTTTGCCCCCCGCCCCCATCCCCAATAATTTATTTGATGTATCTGTGTTTTTATTTTATTTTGAAAAAAGAACAATCCAAAACAACAACAATTATTATTTATTAAAGTTTTATTATTTAAAATATATTTAATCATTTCCACAAACACCTCTTCATATCTAAACAAATCCATTCTTTATACTATTGTTATTTTGTAAATAACCGTATTTGCTATCATTTCTAAATACATTTTGTTTTCATTGTTGATTAGATATTGTTTTAACTAGCAGATGATGTAACATGTTCAATGTCAATAAAGTAAAATAATTTTAAATTGCAGTTTTGAAATTGAAGTTAATTATAGTCTTAGAAAATGTTCAGACACTAAATTATTAAAAGCTCTTGTAGTATTTCTTACAGAGTGACATCATTGTTCACTTTCTTTTGTTCCATGTTGAATGATTGTATTAAAAGAAATATTTTGTTTTATTACAGGGTACAGTCCTAAAGTATGCCATTGTTGAAAATAACGAGTTCTTCAGTATCGACCAAAGGTAAGTTGGTGTGAATATATGACGGCTATTTAAAATATCTGCAGTTTCTTAAGAGAAATAAGAGACATTAATGTGCATATAGCATGATATAATAATGAACAAAAAAAAGTTTATTTAACATTTCTGCTTATTGTTATATATCATACTATTTATTTTTGCTTGACTATTGAAAGAGTTGTAGAGCTATCTAATTGACAATGAGTCCCTCGTCGGTGTAAAACCTAGTTATTGCTTTGCTTGCATCTTTGTTCCTTATTCAGTTAAAAATTCTTAGTTAGAGAGATTCTTAATTCTAGCATAGAGATTTCATTAATTTATTTTCATGAGAAATCTTTAAATCTTTCTTCACGACTCTTTTTCACTTACTTATCATGAACTGGGAAAAGTTGGACCTGTTTTCGTCCGTGTGACAACTTTGTTACTGTGGCCACCGTTGTCAAATGGTTTATGTCTGTAACTTCGAATTATTTGCCAGCACGTTGTGACAGCTCAGTTATTGTATGTTTAAATACGTTGGTGCCTCCTATTTAAAGTATCTAGCTTCAAATAATTTGCCAGCTTTCGGTGTGACATCTCTTTCTTTTATGTATAAAACACTTGGGAGCTCTGAAGTTAAATTTCAACGAAATGCCTTATTTTCGTATATTTGCTACATTCAACTATCATTTAAATAGATTTGGTAAGTGAAATATTATTTCTTGGATTAAAAATGTGTTTCTACGGAATACATTAGATGTACAATTAAGTACGCTCTGACGTTGTTCAAGAAAGGTATGGTTCAAATGGGTTCAAGTAAAAAAACGACTCTCTACATTGTTTAGTCTAAGCTTATGGGCTGTGTTCCTAAGGTCTCTTATAAATAATATAAAAACAAACTGCTTAGCGGAATATTCAGATTGGTAAAATATAAAGATGAAGATCCATATCAGGTACGGCATCGAGATCCAGAGTATTGCTCAAGATGGTGCCCTTAAAATAAGATTATTTGTCGTCAAAACTTACGTAATTAGCACTGTAAATGGTTCACTTTATTTCCTTATCCAATTAAAACGCGTTGATATTCGGTATTTGTTTGGTATTGAAGAAGATACTTTAACACGTCGCATGACGTCATATATTATTTCATTCAACCAAAAGACGTCATACAAATTATTTTTCCCGCACTTCAGCAAATTCTCCATTGTTCTTTTTTGTATGAATATTTTCGAAACAAAGTTGTTAATTTTTTTAATCAGTCTTAGAGTTCATATACATTTTTATTTATATTGATAATTATACTAGTAGTAATGATTATCAATTACGTTAATTTTGAAAATAAACAACCATAAAATTTACATTAACATAAACTAATTCTTAAAAATTGATCTATTTGTAACTGTGACCACGGAAATGAGATTACACGCGTATACCGCGTCCAGAGTGTTTGATTTATGCAAATGAGCTGTGGTCATATACATGTATATCCACGTCCGTTGATAATTTACGATTAAAACAGGCATGATAATGAAATAGCCTTCATTTAATTGTGAGCTTTGGTTTACAATAAACAGGAGATTAAGTGGTATTAATTGTATTTTGAATTTGAGAAATATTACACCTATAGTATTTTAGATGTTATTGTTTTACTATTATATTTGATAAGGATATCGTCTGAATTTTTTTAGCATTTGTTTTTAACAATTAGGGTTAATACATGAAGATCATTCAGTTTTATGTTTTGATGAGTGATCGAAAGGTTGTTTCAATTCATGGACGTTCTAACGTTTGAGATTGTGCTTTGTTGGCGCTATTTTTTAAAAGTGCCGTCGGCTTCTTTATTATATTCATTTGAAAATCTATGTGCTTACGTAACAAAAAATGACGAATTGTTATTGCTTCTTCGCATATTTCTAAGACTTTCTGAAGAGTTTAACCAAACCATAGCATCAAGTTTGATAAATGCTTAACTATTACATTAATAACATACAATACCACCAATATCCATTGCTTCTTCAGACGGCGCAGACGAGAGTTGAAATCACCGTTCTAGACGTCAATGACAACAACCCTATACTAAATGTACCAGGTGTAACGTTCAAAGCGGAGAGAGTCAAAGGATATGTCATTACCCAAGTTTCCGTAACTATCTTTTATATTTTTAGTTTCATACTTTTAATAACAAAGCTTTGACATGTTTTATGGCTAAGATTAAACTATTTAAATATAGTATATAGATCTACATGATATTAAGATTGCAATTTTCAAATGAAAATCTCTTAGAAATAGCTAGAAAACAACTTGGACAAAAATTTGGCTACATTTTCTATTCTTTTGTAGTTGTACAAACAAAATATTTTCAACACTATCTAAAATGTAAAATAAATTGCGTATTATAATGGATATATTTTTCATTTCTTATTCTACAATGATACACAATGGTAAGAGATATTTCTCCAAGTAATTATCTGTACATACCTTATAAACAGAAATGTACTGGTATAAAATTCTATACATATTTTAATGTAAATGAAACAACTTCACACTAATTTTGTGTCTTGTTTTTATAGGCAGATGATGACGATACAAGAAACGTCCTACATTTTGAACTGAGGAGTAATACAAAGTAAGTTCCTTTTCTTATGTTAAGATTGAAGAAATTAGTGCCTTTCGAATTTAAGTTAATTGAACCACATTGAACCTTTGTAGAATGTGTTAAGATTGTATCTTTATAGCATAAAAGTATCACAACATTCCAACACGTTGCATATCACTGAGGTTTTTCTTGACGTGAATGGACTGTATTAATTTTTCGAGATTCGTATACCATTTCATTTAAGTGTGGATCAGAATTTCACATTCTTCACTCACTTCTTTTTCCAAAAAATAATTATTTTTTTGGGCAAAATTACCAAAAACTGAAAAGCGTTGATGGCAATAAAACCAGTCGTTTCTTTTTTATTTTTCCGTTGGCTTTCTTTTAAACTCATAGTATTGCTATTTCCCTAACACGAGTTGACTTTAACTTAAATTTTCGTCTTTTTTGTAAATCTGATAAACTATTTTTTCAATCTTTTATCATAATAAAGCTGAAATAAAATGTATTTAATCTAACTTTTTATTTTATTCGCAACAGTTTATTTAAAATAAACTACGACGGAGAAATTACTGTTCAAGCCGAACCGGAACAACTCTCATTGGATCAATACTCACTCCTTGTTACGGTTCTAGACGACGGGGAACCCCCAAGGGAATCCTCGAAACAAATTGACGTCATATTCCCAACTCTTGGCAGTTCGTCGCGACCAGTTACGACACCGGCTGTTACCAAGACAACTGAGGGAAAACCTCGAGAAGAAGTAACGGTAACACCGACATCAGATGGTGACAATATGCTAACTATTGTTATGGGAGCGATTGCTGGGGTGCTCATGGTTGTTATAATAATACTCATCGTTTACATTGTATGGAAGTAAGTGAAAATTGTCCGTTATTTTTTCCTTTATCGCCAAATATTTAATGCAGTGGAATTTTAAAAGGCACCATTGGGGTTGTTTGAAAAGACTCGATTTGATTTTCTTCCGAAATGTTTGTAGCATTTTGTGTTATTCAGGACCAATCAGCTGTGTGCAAAATTTCTGGTCATTCGCTCTAAATTAATCATTGACATTGTGCAAAATAAAGTGATTAAACGCTTTTACCTCAAATCGCGATAAGAATAGCATTTTGAATATTTTTGTTACATATGTTCCGTATTAACTGCGCATGCCCATATGATGTAATAGGAGTTTTATATTTAATATTATAAGCCTTTTATACCTCTGTTGATATCTTTGGCAATAAGAATAGTTATAGCTTTTTCAAATTAATATTTTGTCTTGAAGTAAAAATACTACTTTGTTTAAATTTTGCTACTGTCATAAGGTAATAAGCATCTAACATGCTCTTAAACATTTTTAAATGTTATAAAACCTATGTTAAAAAAGCAATCGTTTCTGCTTTAAAGAACTTTTCATTCACCAAGCACAAGTTAATTTATCAAAAAGTAGTTTAAAAGTACTAGTAATTATTGGCAGTCATTTTTATTGAATGGTAACAATCAAATTAATCTGAATTCTTCCCGTACTAGTAAATTTATTTCCAAAAATATTTTCAGAAACAAAAGGACAAAAGAGGAGCTGGACAGAGCGAGGGCTCCTAGAAGTCATGCAGCTCAAGGACTTACATATCGACAAGCGGAAGTACCAGATGACCTTCCGAAAATGGATTTAAGTTACGCAGACGACACTGATGGTATTTCCGATTTCGGAGCAACAACTATTCAAGAAAATCCGCTGAGGAAACCTGGTGTTAACCAAGGATATTTACAGAGTAGTGGATCCGAAATGGATCGTGATGTCAGTGAGATTGAAGTAGAGACTGCTGTCGTTCCGTATGACGACGATTATGGATATCCGTCAAATCACGGAACTTTCCGAACATTTCACGGAGATGATACGACGAGTAACGAGTCTAACCACAGTGATAGCACCGGCGGTAGCCAACGGGTTCTAGTAAATGGCAATAAAAAAGATGTGAATAAAATGACGAGTTGGGACAGTGACGATAAAATACATCCCCAGGGTGCTGAGGTAAATTTTAACGTTAACATTATTGTTTCAAATTTTCCATAAAATACAGTATCTTTTTTCACAAATTAAAACCTCGTTAAAGTTGACCAAACACGGACTTCACTTCACTTAGATTATTGCCAATAGCACAATATTCACTAACAGCAAAAACGTTAGTATACTTTCTCAATAGATTGTGAAATGTTTTATTATATTTGAAATCATGGCGTTTGCCTTAGTCTTAGTAAACATATAGTCTCGATAAATTAATAATCCATTCAAGGGATATATCATATGTATATTATTGTAATAAATGTTAAATATGGAAAATTATTTTGTAACGTGATTGTAAACAACATGCAAATTTAATTTTGAGAGTGTTTGGAGCAATATTGACTGGGCCTCACAATAATAGAGGCCTGGCAGTCTGCACGTGTGTCCGGACTGTATACCGTTTTAAACTTAGCTTTAAAAAATAGCATCTTGATATATTTTGTCTCTCGCAATAACAATAAACATGTATTGGTTATAGAAGCATACTGTGGTTTTGGATAAAAAGACTTTTCCAGTTTTAGCTGTAAAAATTTTAGTTTTATCCCGCCTTTTCTATTCTTTGCTTTGTCAACTGCCAACAAATAGTATCAAAAACTATAAACTTGGTCAGCCAGGGGCTTTGTATCATCCTGGTATAGTTTTTGGATAACCAGTCAGCCAATTAACATAGAAATGTAAAGACTGGAAAAGTGCACTGCATTCTTTTAATAAGAATGACTCGTACAGTTTTTATGTGTTTCTGTTGTCAAAGGGCAAGGAACTGTGAACATAATGTTTTTTGTTTTTATTTTCAGAAATTGTTAGATTCCAAAAGTAGTACAGCCTCCAGGACGAAAAAAGAACGACCGGAAATAACAGTTTATTTCTGATACTTGTAATAATTATGTGATTATTTTTGTTAATAATACTTATAAAACCATATCAAATTGTTTTTCTTTTTCTAAAAAATATTCTTTATGTTAGTAGAAAAAAAATAGAATTTATATTTTAAATACATGTACTTAATTTTAAGAAATCAATTAAGACATATTGAAGATAAATGCCAGAAAGCAAAACACGGCGATAATGCTCAACATATCATAAATTACTCTTTTTATTCTGTAACATATGAAACAACATACATACGAAAGACTATGAATCCAGTTTCATTGAAAAAAAAAATCTCTATTCTAATAAAACTAAAAATCCGAAGGTTCATTCAAACCTGCATCATTTTCAATTTTCCTTTCCTGGGCATTCTTTTAGTTTTCTATTTTTTATATCTTACGTGCTTGATTTGATACATTTTTGTTGTTTTTGTACATTCATATTTCATTTGTGTACATATAAAATCATTTATAAATACTCAGAATTAATTGAAAATTTACAGCAATTTTAAGTTACCCTGTACATTGTATTTTGAACATCTATTCCGATCATGTAAGTAAGTTTTTGTATACATTTATACATTTATCAATAATAGTGTTTTGTTTAGCTGAAATTACTGTTACATTTCATTGTCTATTTCTTAGATATATTTATGCCATTTTTATGATATTAATGCATTTGAACGTATGCTGTGTTTCATTAAACAATCTGCCCATATGGCAATATCATTAGCATAATGTGATACATGTACAAACATTTTGCTCTTCCATTATTGACAGAGGTATGAACATAAATTTACATCACAGAACTTCTGATTGACTTAATTTGGTAAAATTCGTAACCATTGTTGACAAACAAACTTCATTATAAATTCTTTAGCCTGAGATTCAGGCTTTGATATTTAATCTTATTAATAACATACGAGCTATTTCCTACTAATTCGTGTTTTTGATGTCGATTTGCCGAACAGAAGCACATAAAATCGAAAGACTAAAATCCAGGCTACAAACTCTTGGTTATTATGAAATTTGAGCTTTTGCTAAGAATAAACTCAAAGTTAAAATTGAAAATCCTTTATACATTCCTTGTACTTAGATATTTTTTCAATTAAGAATATGATTTTTCTGTTGTAATCTACGCATACATACATTATCTTGCCAAAAATAAATTGTGTCATTGTTTATATTAAAGTCATATCATAATTCCGAATGTTAACATTTTGTATTTCATGTTTCACCTTGTTTTAATGGATGTATCTTTTAAGTTGTTTTCATTACGGAATGATACAGCGAGATCGGAAATAAAGAGATAATATTATTATGTAACAGTTTGTTTTATCCATTGTTCATTTGGTAATTGAACTCCCTGAAGCTAACCCGTTGCTGTGCGGTGACCCCTGGGTACCATTGAAATGTTTGATTGTTTGGTTTCACAGCGCACCAACACAGTGTAGATCATGTGGCACCGAAACCGGAGATAAAAGCAACCTCACACCCACAAGGTGCACCTTTTATATGTGTAAAGTATGTTTGGATTTGTTTCGACAACGGTCAATGAGAGAGCTATGTTCTTGAACCGTCTCCTCAATTGTCAATCTTTTAACATACGAAACGTTCTGATCAGGCGTCCGTTCTTGTTCTTGCTATAACAATACAGGAAGGTACACCTGAGGTCTTCCTCTTCCAGTAAAGATAGAAAGCCGCCGTATGACCTGTACTTTCAAATTGTTCGACGCCAATAGGTTTATGTTAGTGCAAAAATCGTATACACTCTCTGTAAAACAAAGGGATTAAGAAAGCCGATGATCAAACAGATTGATTTAAAAGGCAATCGTGGTATCATGGAAGATATCCTGATTCGCTACGAATAGATAGGCTTCAATATGCTTATACCAAACACAATTATTAAAAAAAAATTGATTTAACATTTATAGAAGAGAAATTTATCATTACAACAATGTTGCATGTTGCCTTTGAAATTTTCCGGGAATTTTGATAAATATGATAAAAAAATGTTTGATAATGATTGTTATTGTTCAAAATATCGACAAGGACATTTGATATGTCGTAATAATGATATTACATGCAATATTTGTATGAGAGGAACATATTTAACAAATGTATAAAAGAAATTTTGCATTTAACATGTTATCAAATAGGAAATATTAGAAAATAAATAGAAAATGTTAGAAAATATTAATAAACTATTAAAACATATCACGCAAGTATGAAGGAAAAGAAAGCAAAAATAACAATATCGAAAATGATGTAAACTTTAATAGTAAATAACATATCTTTTTCATATTATGTTAGAGAACTCATTAAAATTATTTACATAAAATAGTAAAACAAGCATATTGGATATTATTCCGATCCCCTGTAGGTTCATAAACATTTTTAACTGTATCTACAGATTACAAATAATAAGAATCATCGTTGAGCAATAACAAAAATACTCAAGGAGTTTTTTAATCAACGATGCATTTGGTCAGTCTAACGTCTAGAAACAATCCAGCACTTAGCAAAAAGTTTTAGACAGGGTAAAGTGAAGTACTTTTATTAGTGTGTATTCTAAAAAAAAAATTAAAAAAAAAGATCAACAATGCAAAGGCAACGTTAACATGACGCCAAAACTAACATGCAAAACTAACATACAACATTCCTTCTCATTTATTTTAAATCTTAGGTAACGTTATGTATTGAAATGTAAAAATGTTAACATGAATGAATGAATGAATGAATGAATGAATGAATGAATGAATGAATGAATAAATGAATGAATGCATGAATAAATGAACGAATGATTATTATACATGTATTTGACAACAACGATCTACAAGGTTGGACACCTTTGTCAATTTGAAACTGAAATTCATTTCCGAATCAAAGAAATACTGAAATATTAATTCAGCGTCAAAAATGTATTTATTAAAATATACAAAGAATGTTATGAAGCGTTTCAGTTCCATGAATGTTGAATGTTAAATCCATTGTCCCAATATTGACGTGATTCATTCAAATACATTTCAAGTTAGATATTTTTTTTAAGACTTAATTATTCTGATGCCATAGTTGAGCAATCAAAAATGCACTTATAAAATATAATTTAATCCACGCATGCGCAATAAAATTCACGCATGCGCGATTACTTGTAAAAAGCACAAGCACTTCATAAACGTGTTTGTTTTGTGTTCAACATATCAAAATTCATACGATGAAATGGTACAATGTTCTTGTTTCTATTGGAATCATAAGCTTGTGGAGGTTCCTGTACTCCCGTTTTCTTACTACACGATTTACATCTGTGCACAATGATTTCAATTATAAAGGTCAACAGCCCAACAAATATGCCAATGACACACACGTAGAAGGCACTCTGTACGTCCATCAGAGATATGGGTTTAGCCTCGGGCAGGGAATTACCCGCACAAAAACTAGACTTTGGCCACCACTTCCGTTTCCATATTTCTAACAAGCCGCTCTCATGTATCTTGATCATTCTGAAAATTATAGAAATGAAATCTAGAAATGAGTAAACTCTATACCATGTAAAATATGGAAAAACGACCAACAAGGAAGTGCGTCCCTCAGTAAATGCATCCTCATATTTCAATTTCTTTTTTTTATTACTATAATAGTAAAACCGTTATTAAGGGACCGCGCAAGGAAATCACTTAAGATGGTCGCTTAATGCATTTTTGTACAACGATGTAAAGTGTGGACGTGTTAAACATTGTATAAGATATATTTCAAATCTTGTATGATACTTCTCCTTAGTTATACTTGGCTTTCTTGTGATAAGATAGAAAAATGTGACGTTAAACATTTGATTTCTATTTGTCACATTCTAATAATGAATCTTGGCAATTGCTCGCTAGTTTGCTCTTACCTCATCGCCGGCATAATACAAATCATTAATGTATGATAGATAAACTTACTGCTCGGAGAATATTGCGGCATGTGGTGACTTATTTTTAAAACCAAATACGTAAATAAGCGGCATAAATTCTTCTTTGATCGCCACAAGACTGCATTCTGTCGCCATTGCTATTTCCATAGTTGTTTTATCACCTTAAAATAAAATATATCAGATAAAGTGAATTGAATGAGCATTTTTTGTTTAAACATATCTTATTGCAGCACATAACATACATTATTATACAAATTATATGTATATAACATAAAGCAAATGGGTTGGGCAACAAGTTCTAGCAAACCTTAGATTTAGTCCTTCCAATAATGGATTTAAAAAATGAAATTCAATGTTACGTTGTTCGTCATTCACTCCTATTAATTCCTAACAAATCCGGACTAAATGTACAATTTTACGTTTTTATTGTTGAAGCAGCACGCCTCCAGATTCATACAAATGTTTAATGAACGAATTTAAAATGTATTAAAAAGTAAAATATTGTCAATTGAACAAAGAAATTAATAAATACATTTCAAAGGGCACTTAAAGTGACATGATGCCCATCAAAGGGTATACAGTGAGTAAACATATGAAAGTCAAAATAAATTCACATTTTGCCATTATTCATTTAATTCAATGTTATAACATACTTTGCATGAACGATTAATCACTCACTTGACTCAAGGAAATTGCTGTAAATATCCACCAGAATTTACTTGTACAGTTCAATTTAGAAAAAAACAGAATAGGACAGTCTTCTTATATTTTAGGAAGATTTATACAATTCATCATAACAATTTTCCAAAAGCATAATGTTGGTGCATCACCGTTATAACTGTCAATCTCTATTAACATATATTCAATTCAGCTCAACTTTACAATGCAAAGATGAGCACAATGTCACTTTAAAATATACGAATATTATCCACAAAATTCAGAATATGCAAAATTGCCCTGACTGCGATAGTCATGAAGTATAGATATGGCAAAATCAGTCTTTTTTTGCACATAACATATATAAATTATATCTTTAATTGTAAATATTGTTACTTTTCTAAACATCTCAAGCTTGATTCTTTTAAAATATTTTGGCTCATCTTGAGGCATGCACCTTTAATGTCATTATGCACCTTTAAGGTCATTGCATCTTATGAAAAAAGTCAACTGTATGAGCTGATAGCAATCGTATAGCAATCGTTTGTAGTTAATTCTTATAATTTGTCATGCAATTAAACTGTAACAGATACTAAATCGATTTCTTTTTAAAATTCATTTATTCTAAAGAAATTGTGTTAATTATTTCAACTTAATTGTGTAAGTTCTGTGCATCTATTGTCTAAATTTCTAGCCTGTCCGCTAAGCTGTATAAGGAGAGCTATTGATTGTAATCAATGGGTCAATGGTTCCATCCTTTGGGCCAGTCTTAATTTGTTCCAAATACTTAACTGTCCTTGGACATTGTGTGCAATTTTCATTGCCCTCTCACCGCTGATTAAGAATTCATGTACAATTTGTAGTCAGTCCCTTGTGGAAAAATTGATAATTATTGGTTAGTTATTCAGGAAACCGTTTGGATTTGGGAATTCAAAAATTGTTAAAATGGCGTAAACCGAAAACATTTTAAACAAACAAGTCTTTTTTTAAAAACGAGTTTACTTTTACATACCGTTGGGCTGGTTTTATTCGCGTAAGATTAATTTGCGGTAACTTCGGTAATTGATTTGCGAATAACAATAAAGCTACAAATGTTTATATTATGCAAAGACCGCCAGTTCTACGAGATACAAACCTATCCATGCATATTTTCCCTTTTTCACTCTTTCTACATGAAATGAAGGACTTGTATGCAGTATCGTGGGGTCGGTTTTATTGAACTTGATAAACGCTTCCCCCATTGCCCTGAAAGCCTTGTTACTTGAGTTCTTAAAATATAGAAATTTTAGTTCTGTATTTGCTGATTCGAGTTACATCTGTATCATAATTTTAGTATTCATTGCTAGTTGTAGATACCTGCCGTTTTATGTTTAAATGAACAATAGAAACCATAAAGAACGCTCAAAACGATAGAATAAGCCAATGTCAGATATTTTTCCAAAGGTAAACTTATAAATATATAAATATAATCCTACTTAACATTTACATTTAAGTTTATTTTCTTCTTTTTTTGAATATTTAAAATGATACGCTAAGTCTTTAATAAAAAAAAAACAGTGAATGCAAGCATTTACATAAAGCATACAAGTATAGTTAAAATATTTGCAACTTTCAGTTAGATAATTATTTAGCACATCTGTATGTAAGAAAAAATATTTTACTGGAAAAGTCGTCTCCCAAGCAGTTCCACCAAGGGTCCCCCATTTGTATGTGTCCTTAAGGTCATTCATTTCTTGCAAGGAATTGAACGGAGGTTTCTCCTTTGTAACAGTTAGAAAGGCAATAAGGTTTCCACAATACGTCCCTACTATTATAATACATGTCAACCACCAACAGCTGATCAATGTCCGTCCAGCTGTTGATTCCGGTAAATGTACGCCGCCTGTAAGAAAAAAACGTAACTGTTGTATGCAAAGGACATACTAAAATTTACTTTTTCACATTTTCTGTTTTTCCTTCGATAAAGAAAATAAACAAATTAATAAAATACTTTTTACCGAAAGTTATTCGATAGGATCCTATTTTCCTCTTGGCCTACGAACAATCATTTAGGCATGCATTTATACAAACAAGTATTTCAAACAAAATTAAATCAAACATTCTAACATCAAACAAGCAACAGAAGGCAAAATGTATTTAGAAGAGTTTAAGGCAACTATAATAAATGAACAAAGTTTGTAGCAAAACATATTATTAAATGAAAGCTGCTACCATGTAGGTATCGAGGGTATTGGGTCATTTTAATAGTTACAAATATTAACAGGAATATTGTTCCATTGTACTACATAATACTTGAATTTTAAAACGAACTTTGAAATGATATACAGTACCATGGTATAATTAAATTTCACTATATAATTAACAAATATTTCATGGTTTTAAACTACCATTACCACATTTACAAAAGTATAGGCAATTACGTACCTTGGCATAACAATGCTCCGAAGACATACCAAAATGAACTATGCCATGTATGAAGACCACCGTTCTTTACTCTTTCCTCGGCATACTCCGGTATAGTGTAAAATGGATTATATCTCTCAAGGAGAAATACCAGAACTGTCACTACCAACAGAGACGCTCCTATAATACATGCAATGATCTTTTATACTGACTCAATATACCCGTCTTTCTTGTGTTATGTACTAACTTTATTATATTATGTGCCTACTTTATATCGTAATGTTAATCTCCTTGCCGTTTGGTCTTGTGTTGCTGGATCATGTGCGGGTTGCGTTCATTGAACGCCGCCCTACCTTGATGATCTAGTTTTTTTCATATTTTATTATGTCATGTGCATTCTGTGACATATTTTATAATTTCTTCTCCGAGTATATGCCTTTATATGGCAAAACAATTGAAATAAATGGCACATAAACCATACTTTTTTCTATTGCAAATTTTCAATTATGATAGATTATGTTCGGTAAAATAAAACAAATCAGAGTTCTCAAGGAAAAAACGTCATACCATGGTTAATGGTACCTTAGTGGGTTTTATATTATGTACTTTTACTCTCCGAATGATCTGATATTTATACATGATATCGCCTTAACAAATTAAACCCTTTATTTCATACGATATTTTTACCAATTTTGAAAATGATAACTTAATTGAATATTTATCGGAATTAAAATTTGACGATTAATTGATAAGATATAAATGCAATATTAGGAAAATATGTGTTTGTCAAGAAATAAATGATCATAAATTAATAACTGAATTGTATGTCGCTAATTAAAAAAATGTATAATTGATCTGTATTTGTTAAATGAATTTATCAAGCAATGATTTTGGAGCAGAACATTCGTGGTTAAAGGGATTTCAAATTACAAAAATCGAGTTACCAAGAGTTTAGTGCCTTGTCACATACTATCTCTTAGCTGCTAAGTGTATCTACTACCGTTGCTACAGGACAGTGAACGGCAGTGTTACATCCGACCGACCAATGTACAGGAAAGTACTGCGCAAACGGAAAAAATGTGCATGCTTGTCACGCTTTATTTATAGCATTAGCAAATGCTAATCACATGATGTTATAGCAGGCTAAGAGTTATAAAGTTAATAATAAAATATTACCTATTGTTAAAAGAACTTCAAATTTGAAAGGGTCTATCAATGTTCGCCATTTTATAGAATTTACATCTGGCTTCTTCACTAGAACTGTTGTATATTCATAATAATATGGATAACTAAAGTCCATGGCCGGATCTCTTTCTGCCTGGATAGAAATTGGCGCAGCAACAATATCAACTTCCTGCAAATAAACAAGAAATATTTTGCTTTTCTTAAAACTAGATATAGAGGATATTATGAAAACAAGCAGTATAAGATAAATGTGAGCTACTGTCCACATCAACCTTGCACTGCCTTAAGTAGGAGTTAACAATAGCATAAAATGATAAAATTTTGAATTAAGAAACATTTGCTGATGTGCTCACATGGCGGTTATCAAGGAACCGTCAATGCGACACGATTCAATCCAAGAAACGCGGCGTATGGTCCCCAAATAAAGTTATGCGTGTGTTCTAAACGAGGAAACAATGGGAGAAAGGACGCCTGTTTATCACAGGCAGAAGACACACAAATTATCATAAACATGATCACAGTAGTCAAGTATTAATGCTTGAACAACTAAACTACAAAAAGGCCATAAACTAGTAAACGGAACTAAACATATTAGAAACTAAACTATTTTGTCATGCTGAATTATCACATTTATTGCAGAATTGTACCAAACCTTACCTTTAGACAGATATATCTATACGGTCAAGTCTCACACGCATTTGTTTTGGTTTGTTTGCATAAGAAACTTACCTCTCTTTGTAGTTGACCAACAAGGCCATTAAAAGTTAGGTTGACCCGGTTTGTTATACCTCCCCATTTTCCATCTGCCGGTTCCGTTAGGTTATACCTTATAAAACCAGCGAACACAAAATGTTAATTTCTTGAACCCTTTTCCGATAGTTTTTAAATATATTTTCTATAGGAAATGTCAAAAAGTAAAAAAAAATTACATTTGCGTCTGATATGGAACTTCCAAAGTGAAATTCTATGTTAGAAATTTAGTGATGTAAAATCTCAACTCGTGTTTACAGAAATGAATAATGCACCCAATTGAAACATTTTAACATTTATAACAATAGATAAATACTCAACGCAATCATCCTTATTGCATATGTTTGTCAAATTAGCATAACGAATCAGATAATTAAAAAAAAACTATGTAATACAGGCCATGCAGTGGAATAACTGCTACCTGCTGTGATGCAACAAGTATAGGATGCTAAAATTATATAGTAGTTACATATTAATAACATGGAAATATATTCAATAAAAACTGATCGACCTTAATGGAAGGTCTGTAATCCAATAAATAATTATATTGACAGTATTCAATATCAGCAGTAACAACAAACCACGAAACAATTATATAAATAATACATGGATGATGGTTCTAATTATGAGATACATGATCCATTTTACATAACTTCATATAGCAGATAATAAAATGTTCTGGAACTACATATTATTATTCATCATATCAATGCTTATACTACCTTTTTTTTTCAAGAAACATTTTTATAAGATTATGGTTATGATACATTCATGTTGTTTTATTTTATTTCAATATTATAAATAATTATTGAAATTATGCACGTTGTAATTCAATTCAATTCACTTGAATGTAAAATAAATAATGCAGTACTTTATTCTTGACATATTTACCAGAAGATGAATTATAGATATTTACGTGAAATTAAGTTTGTTCGCCAACTCTTGTATTAAATCTAGGCAGAATCCCTCATAAATGTACGTATTATTCTCTTTTCTCTTTATAACGAATGGCGAATACTGAAAAATAAAATGATTCTGTGAACGTTGTGACAAAAAAATTGGTTTCACAACAAATAATCATGTTCACTTACTGTATGTAATAAGCATAATCTCAATAGGTACATCATGTTCTTGTGAAAACGTCTGCTGTGTTCATATAACATGTATAAGCTCACAGCATGTATTCAAAAAGGCTGTAACGAAATTTAATTTTGAAACAACAATCGCGTTTGCCAGTCGGTACAATCAATTGTTTCACTGGACCTGTTCTTCCGAATTTGTTTTAAAAGTGTTATACTGAAATTACTGAATGTTCTTAAATATGCATATAAATAATGTATCACTAACACCAACCTCAAGTGTGGAAATCAAAAACCATCTCTTGTTATAACCATATTTTATATTTGGAAATATTTCCGAGTTCAATACAACATTTCCATTGAAATCAGCATGTCCTACTGGACTTAATTCCCTGCTTTTTGCCCTCCAAAGCAATGTTTCAATATAGTAGCCTTTACAATAGTTGGTGGGATTCCAGGACTTTGCATTCTGCAGACAAGAGGAAGAAAAGATGAGAATAAAGATAAACAATCCAGTCACACCTATTGGGAACACAGAAGGCACCAAAAACTGGTAAAAATTTGATATATATCATGAACAAATTGCATCTAGAATGTAAACTTAAAGTCGATATCCCTTGTTGATGGGATCTTTTACGTGTCCATTCGATATTTTTCTATAATAACAGTATTTTGTAATTTCTACAATACAGAAATGTATAATTTAATAACTGGAGAATATCAAAACATGTCACAATAACAGTGTACATTATGTTATAAAGGTGAGCCCCGTTTTTATTCCTTAGTCTTGGCATTTACGGTTATGCAATATTTCGAAAGAAAATAAGTACAATGTACATTGATATATTATTTCAACTGATTTCTGAATACCAAGTGGATTAAAACATTAACCTCTTCGAGTCGTTTGACAAACACCGTTTTGAAATTAACAGGATCCGATCCGATGGTTTCTTTAAAAACCTCCAATGAAGTACAGTCGATACCTTTAGACAAAGCCTGCAAAAGAAATTTCAGACATAACTAAGTCACCAAACTTGATAAATTATGTAATATTTTCTATCGTCAGCATTATCTTATTTAAAATTGTTAATCGTGTCCAGAAGTCAAATTATAAGTTTGCGTACATTATTTTAACTCTTCAATATACAGATCATCTTTGATTTAATTCGTTATCAATTTTAAATTGTAATGATAAATATGTGAAATGTTATCTAATTAAACACCAGTAGCAGAATTGTTACAGCTGTTCTATAAGACGATACCATGTGCTAACCTGCATGTCTATAGTATGAGGTCTAGGGACAGCTACAACGGCAATGTTGTCAATATCAAATGCATTCTGTTGGAATATCTTTAAAGCATCTTTATCATAACCGTACAAGACAACCAGCCACCTTGAGAACATTTTCAGTAACGTCTTTTGATTATTGAATGGATCAAAATTATAAGCCTGTAAAAGGAAAATGCTAATGAATTTTAACAGAAGTTTCTACTATCTAAATTATAAAACAAATACACGCATAATAAAGCTCCATAAGAAAAACATGTTCACAAATAATAAAGTGTAAGTTTGCATTCTGTGTAAGGAATGTATGAAGATATTGGGGAGCATCTGTTTCAAAGGAAAACTAATCTTTTAATCTTTAAAAATTGACAAATTAATAACAATTAGAAACACAGCTAAGGTGACTTTCTATAATTTTAAATAGTTATTGGACTATAAATTATTTACGTGTAAGACAAAGACAGTTGAAATCTCTAAAAAAATATTAAAAGATGATAAATTGGAACTTACTGCTTTAAGAATATGTTTTGTATTGCTTAATCGACACACGATAACAATTTCTATATCTTTGTTGTTTTCAACATGTGTTTGGTACAGCTCTTGTAAAACCTTTTGCATATTGGAAACATGATCTATATTGTATAGGGCAATGAGGACCCCGTCTTTTGATAAGCCGTCCACTAACTTAGACATTTGCCATTCTGTGTTGAAATAAAAGATATATGCTATTTATTAAAACTGCATGCCTCCAGATGAGCCAAAAAATTCAAGAAAACATTGAGCAGAGATTTAATAAGATTTTAAGAAAAGTAAAAAGATTCAAGTAATAATTTGTATAATAATTATGTGCGATTAATGACTGATTTTGCAGTATTTATTACGATATTTCTATTGTGTTACTAATGCAGTAAAGACTATTTTTGCATATTTTGACCTCTTTTTGCACAAACATGGTACTTATAAGGATTATAAGTGCCGTTTGTGATGTGCATTTTTTTTGCTCCCTTAGCAATATTTTACAAAATTCATTTTCAAATTTTCATAAAACATTAGCATGATTCTGGAAGCATGTTGCTTTAGCATCGTAAAATTTTAGTTTCATTCATTTAACATGATATTGAGCAGGGTCTTTTAAATTTCTATTTGAAATACCCTGTATTTAGTTGGATGGTTATAGTTTTCTCCTTGTAAACACGGATGCTGGCACATCTGCTGTTGTATCATATATATTAATAAAAACAATAGAAATTGTATGACATAAAAGCATTTTTACTGAGAAAGTGTCATTATTTGGGAGGATACCTTTTTGTTTGCACTTCAAAAGTGATATAGTATACTCACATGTGACCTTTATGTTATTGTAATCTATACAACTGAGATTTATTTTTGCAAAACCGAATCACAAATTTGTTTCAGAAATAAGTGTTAATAGTTTTCCGAGAACAAGGTTTGAAATAATGGGATTAATCATAGTTCGTTCTTTAATAATTTCATGATTGCTTTTTTAAAGTTATTTTGTTAAAGTGACTAAAATAAATGAAGATCGAACACTGTATAAGGCGGTGCTAGACAATACGATATATGTTGTATTTTCATATATATCTTGTGAATAAGCTCAATCGAGCCTGCTATCTCTCACTTTTCACTTTTAAACTCTCGAGAGATGTCTCATTTTCCTGATTTCTATGACCTAACATACAAATGAATTTATCTGAAAGACTTTAAATGTTGGCTTTAACTACAGTCATTTGTAAATACAATACCAAGTGAATTAATGCTTCATTTTGTCATGTCATAAACATATATTGAACAAATTTAGACAAATAATTGACTGAATTCCTTAGAGACAAGACTCAAAACATAAAACTCATAGTGTGATATCAATCATTCATTCGTTCCGAAAATCGATAATGTAAAATATATTGTTTTTTTTACCTGTAGAAGTTTCGTAAAATATTGCAATTGAACGCCACTTCAATGCTTTTATCATTGAACGAACAACGGGTAGTTCAGGCATGCTTATCAACACGTCGTCCCTACAATAAAATATTAATTAAACAGCAAACGGTAAAAGAGATGAAATCCCATTTATGGTAGGTAATGTTATTAGAAATAGAGAATTAATTTATATTGCGTGTCCCTTTGGAAGTATTCAGATAATTTCTTTTACCAGGAGAAAAATACAAATAAAACATGATTCTTTTCTAGAAATATCTTCTTGTAAGTGTGTCTATGAATTATGACTAAAACATCGTTTTTGTATCAGTAACATACATCATACTTCAATTTTGTCCATATCCATTCTCTGCCCGTGTGCCCTTTTTTGTGGGGTGGGGGCGAGGTGGGTGGGGTTGGGGTGATTGGGGAAAGGGGTATGGGGGTTCTATATCTTTTATGTTATAACTTCCCTCTGCGTTTCCCCATTTTCATAGTCCAGTGCCTTCTGTGTGCCCTGCCAATGTGGCTCAATTGTGTCGAGGGCTTCGTTCTATGAATGTTGCCTTACCTTTTCTTGTTGGTTGATCTTTGTCTCCGTTTTTTTATATAATTTCCCCAAGTCTCAGAGGATCAATGTTTTTGATACTTGATTTAGTAGGTGAGATGGGAGTATAATTTTTCTATGTTATTTTGCTGTCTCTAATGGACATGATACAATATGAGTTTGTGATTTTTCAGTCATTAGTTTTTATTTTCAATGTAGCTGATTTTATTGAGATACTGACGACTAGAGCATAGTGGTATGGTATGGTATGGTATGGTATGGTATGGTATGGGATGGTATGGTATGGTATGGGATGGTATGGTATGGTATGGTATGGTATGGTATGGTATGGTATGGTATGGTATGGTATGGTATGGTATTGTATGGTATGGTATGGTATGGTATGGAAGCTTACATTGTTTTTTTGTGTTTTAAGTAGTATCGATGCTTAAAAGATCCTGTATGTTGAACTTGAGGTTGCATACCAACTTAAGTGATATTATATGCAAATAAAACAATTTTCAAAAATCGAAGAATATGTAAAATATGTACTGCAAATATTTGTACATTATATGTACTCATTAAAATATATGCATTCATTTCTTATTGTAAAATTTGACTTAGACTTTATAGAAAATAATTTTTTATTACCTCCCTTTATTTACATAAAATGTTACATATACTGCTTTTTGGAACTTACAAAAAATTGATAAATCTTAATTTGAGCATCATATTCATGATATAAAACCATAAACAATTTGTGTTACAGGATCTTTAAAATGTCTTATTGCAACTGTAAAAGAAGACCCCAGGTTGAATTACGTGAATTATTACAAACATGAGCGGTCTTCTGCATAGAACCACCGATCTTTTACAAACTAACTGGATGGTTTAACAGCTCATCACTTTATTTTTGAATAGTAGATGGATTTGTTATACCCTGAGTAATATATTCATTATACAGTTAACTACCCTGATAACGATATTAAGGGAACAGCCGATTTTATATCGATATTCCCGGATATCGTTATATCCGTGTATCGTTACGTCCCTCATACTGCAAATAATCAATGTATGACTAGCTTACAAATGTTACCCATTTTGAAGCGTAGAATTGGTTGATTTCAAACAGTGTGCTGTCCCTATCAGATTATTGATGAACTCAGAATTTGAGCTACAGGTAAATGACCCCATTCTCTCTGATGGTAACCTTGAAATCTGAAATTGTTTAAATAAAAAGCTAAATTTACACTTTAAAAATCTACAGGAGTAGCACATTTTAAGTGTAATATTTCCCTTTTATCTTAACTAATACAAATGTAGAAAACAAATTTTCCATTTTCCCAAACGTGACTGTTATCTACAGGAAAACATCAAAGTATTTGCACTTAACCCTGAAATGTAGTAAAGTATTATCTGAAGTACTTGTATGAGGTCCTGAAAGCTAGTACTGTAAAGATTCTTTCACAGAGGCATTTCCCTTAGCTTTGAAATACAGTCAATACCAGTATAAAATGATGATTATAAAATTTATCGATTTTAGATCATTTTACCAATATCACACGCGACTGTAGACGTTGTCGTACATGCGTTGATTGGTCGTTGCTTTTTTTATTTCATCATTTTCATTTCGGTGTCCGCGATGGTAAAAAGATGAACAAGTGGTCCGTTAGAATCGACAACAATGCGTACAAGGTATTTTTTAAACAACAAATTTTATCAACAATACTGAGGTGTTATTACTTCTACAACTATTTATTCCAAGCCACTCTTTGTTTACATAAAAGTGTATCCTTATATACATGTATTGCATTAGTTGTATCTAACGAAATACCGGTATCATTTAAAGCATTATTTCTTTTTTGCTCCATTCTCCACTATGGAGTATCCAACCAACCTATCCAAAGTACAAGCGAAATTACTAGTATTGTTTGATCACTATTTTATGTTGTCTATTTATTTTACCGACAATTTTTCATCATATTGAACTGCAACTTTTGCATCATTTTGCTGCGTATGCCAAAATAACAAAAGTCTTATCTCTTCACAGCAAGTATCATCTTTGGCGCCATCAGCCTAAAAACCTTGAGCTTTGGAATGATTTAAGTAAAATGAAATGAATATTTTTGCTTACTTAATGCAATGAAATAATTACCTGGACAAAAAGAATTGAGCGAATGATCTGAAAATTTGAAGAACCGTATATGATCAAGACAATAATCCGGTCCTGTCATGTCAAAATCCTCAGCGGGAACTTTTAATAAAGGTGTCAAAATATTTACTTATTATATGCTAAGAGATAGAGCATCAAGTTATAATACCTTATTATCCCTTGGAGTCATGACTCCAAGCTTAACCAGCTTTTTGTGACTTGTCTGCAGGATTTGTGGTGCTTTCAGAAGGTTCACGTCGTAATGCATGACTAGAATTATATCAACATTTGGATCTGCGTCCAATAGTTTAACTAAAAATAGAATATGATTACATTTTATTTCAATATTTCTAATTTACAGAATTGATTAACTTGTAAGGTTACATGTAGCATTAATTATCTATATGATTTATAGTTATAGTACTAATCTTTTCAACTGGTTAACCCTTTGTACGATGTGTTTCAAATACGAGAATGTAAGTACTAGCCTATGGAATGGAGTCTATAAATGTAAATGCTAAAAATGAAATGCTATTAAATGTATTAAAATACCTGGCCAGATTGTTGTGTGACACCTGAGACATCTGCATGTATAGATACTTTTCATGTGTATATACTAGTACATTGACAAGAATTTGCGTCAACTATTTGTTCAATAAGTACGACTGTAATGCCTTGCTATTTCAAAAAACAGAATAAACTTTCCTTGCTTTTATTCTCTTATATACTAGTACTATGTAAGTTACGTCACAATGAAGTACTTTCGCTAGCTATTACCAAGTATAGGGTGTTCTAGTAAACATTTTTACGCAGCCTATCAATTATCGTTTCTGCTTTCAGGTGATAGTGATGTCAATTATCGAAACGTTGACATGGTTAATGTCTGTCAGGATGTGATTGTCCTTTGATCTTTTGCCTGTTATATAATTGTTTGAAGTTCGTTCAGTTAAACGGTGATTTATAAAGATTTTTATGGAAGAACTGAAGACAAATTTACCTGATCTTAAAATGTAGAACATTTCTCTCGTATCAACAAGGTGCTTGACAATCACGAATTGCTGCCCATTCCTGGACAATATTTCTGTCTCAACGGTGTTAGTTCCAGTCGCAATAATTCCTTATTATAAAATATAAAATAACAATTACGTTAGTCTTGTTTCTTGATATTAAAAAGGCGTTATTTCTTTCTCCAATTTACTAAATGGTTGATTTGTGGCGACTTTAGACGTTTATCTTCATATATTAATAAATTTACACGTTTCATTTTTGTTGATTATGTACAATAAAAGGGCAATGATTAATAAGGAAAGGCGGCATTCAATGAACATGCACAGTAATGTCATTTTCAAACAAAGAATAAAAATTTTACATCAAATTCGTGCAAACTGGGATTTGGCAAAAGTGATAAGTCTTTGACATTTTAAATTTATTTTACTCTGAATTGCACCTTTTTATGTAAAATATGCATTCTTGAAGATTGATTAGAAAAATATGTTTTTTTTATTTGTTTCTGGAATTTTTTTATAAACAGTGCAAGGATTTTTTTTTTTGGGGGGGGGGGATATAATGAAAACCTTTTTTTCAGGAGCCAAGTAAACAAGTATATAAACTTCACTTAATGTTTAAATTGACCTTTTTAAGGGAGCCATCTGAGTTGTTTACATGTAGGGATTAATACTATGTTTTATCAAGGTTTGCTCCATATGATGTAGATCTAGACCAATATCGTGTAAGCAAACTTTCAAATCACTCTCGTTTCCGAGATTAATAGTTTAATTGTGTGAATGACTCAAAATTTAAAAAAATGTTAAAATGAGCCGTGCGATGACAAAACCAACATAATGGGTTCGCTATCAGTTTCTCTTATTATTATAGGGTTTGTAAGCGAAAAGCATGGATCCTGATCAGATTGCGCGGACTAGATTTTCTGACTTCTGTAATAAAGCAATCGTTTGGATTTGCAAGATATATTAAATTCTTCTTTGTTATTAGTAACTATATACTAATATAAAGTTATAACTTCTAAATCCCATGTGTGATAAGGAGTGAAAGATTATAAATTATTTAGTTATACTTTCGCGATATTCTTTTTTTATGTATCTTAGAAAACTATTTGATGTTCTACAATGTTGAATTATATAACATGTATTGTGTATATCTTTTTTGTTCCTTTGATATTTATTAATATCATTTGATTAGGAACATAATGATTGTTATGTTATCGTTAATTATGTATTTGTAATGCTATTTAGTGATGTGTACACATTTAATGAAAAACCTACGATGTCCTTTTCTGTCCAATTAGAATTTCACTTGTACAAATGTATCACGCAATAATTATCGCCTTTCGAGCAAAAATGCTCGCATTTCCCTTAAAACGCGATAGTATATAGTTTAAACGAAAATTTAATTTTTTTTTTAATTTCACTCGTATACATGTACGACAATGCAATCTAGTTTATTCAGCAAACAATAGCATTTTTATTCAGCATCAAAAAAGACATATTTATAGCTAACAAAAATATAGAAAATATTGAAACGTGTCCCTGTTTCAAGGAAATGCTGAATGTATCACGTTATACTATCAAAATTCACTGTGGACGAAATAAAACACCAAAGCAACCTATTAAGCTACATGCATGCGAATTGTTGTTGTAATATGGCGGTATCGTGAAACCAAGAGCAAACATTTAAATCAACTTTAAACGTATTCTAATATCACTCAAATACATAAAGAGCATGTGATTTTAATGCATGTGACGAGTAAATGCACTTAAACAATGATTCTTTTCTGTTGTTAAAGTCATTACTTTACAGATCATAGATCAGCACAAATGTGATATTCTTAGCATTGGCTGATCGATCTTATAATCTTGCTACACTTAATGGACATGCTGTCTATAAAAACACTATTATAAAACGTAAAAGTAAAATATTGAAATTAATGAATTAGCAGTTTAAACACTAATAAATATTTTAGATCTGTTATTGTTGCATTTTTCGGTCTAAATTAAATGCCCGCAAATGTTTAGACATGTTGATATTACGTTTGAGAACTTTTGTATTTGGCCTTATATTTATGTCAATGCAAACGGTTGAAAAATAAAATAAATTATTATTTTGTCATTTTACAAAGATGTATGCTTTGCTTTGCGTCCTTTGTTATAAAAATAGTTATACTCCCTAAGTTATACAATATTATGGTTGCAAATGTGTGTGAAATAGTCATATTTTGCTCTAATTTTTGCATAGATAAAGCTTAAGAATAAAGTTCTGTTTTATGTTTGAAAGCCTTAAAGCCGTGGTTAAGGCCTTCATCATGTTTTGTTTAATTTATCTGCCCTAAAATTTGACTTTTTATTATTACATTATTTACGTAAGTTTAACTGCATATTACTTAATCACAAGTCATATTTTCTTAATTTTTACTGTGGGAGTACTTTTGATATTTTATTCTCAATACTAAATGTTTATGTAATTCCATACAACATTATCTTAAAATATAACACCAAAGATAAGTGCCATTTCGCATATATGTTTCATTTCAAAGGTACTCCACTGACGGGACTCGTTATTTCATATCATCGGTCTTTATCAATAACTGAATATGTGCAACCATTTAGATTGCTCTGAATTTCAAGGATAATCATTTTGATTCTGAATAATAACATTAAATCTATTTCGTTCAGACGCTTTTAACTAAATCGAGCTAAGAATTTCGCAACAAATTTCAATTTTTAATTAAACACTCGGTAAACATATTTGAAGATGCAATCTTTACATATTTTCCTGTTTTAAATTTTGTATGTCTTTAATTTTGCATCTCAGTGGTGGTCATTCCATGAAATGTTAGTTCCAAAATGCCAAATATTCAGTAACAATATGTATTGTTCAAATGTCAACCAAATATAAATGAAAAAAAAAATGAAATTAACGACACTGATTTACCTATTGTGATATTGCTCCTATCATCTGCTACCACGTGACATAAAATAGATATAAATCCCAAAACTATGCATTTCTTCTTTTCACACATTCTTGTTATATTATAAATTCCGAACTACTTTTAAGTTGAGAATAGAAAAAGACATCGCTCTAGGGAACATTACCAATTATCTGAAAACATCACTGAATGGTTATTTTTTTATCTAAAAGAAGCTAAAATAACTCCCATTAAATTCCATTAATGTCGGTAACTATTGTTATTTCTAATAGAATTATATCCTACATGCACCAATTCTGGGTAACATTTTTCATTAAAGTAAAGATAAAATCCGATTAAGTAAACTGTCAACAAGAAATCGATATAATATAGATAGAACCATCGCACTAACACTGGTGAAACACAAGATCAAATCACCAAACGTTGTTAATAATAAATTGAATTTCAGCACACTACAGGTATGATTATCGCTATTAACGGCAATTTCTCTAATCATTAGGTACAGAATGGGACTGTGTAAGTGACAATTATTTATGACATAAATATCAGAACATCCATAAATTGTTCTAATTTGTTCATTGTCTCTATTCAAGAATAAAAGCATGCAAGAAATGTATCTAAAGTACTTGTATTTAAATTAAATCAATTTGGCGCAAAGTGAAAAATAGAAAACAAACCGTAAAAGTATATATGTATTTTTAAAAGTATTACAATGGGTAAATGATTGTTTTAAAGATACATGTAATAAAATTCGGATACAATTATATTTCAAAGATAAGAGCACTTATAATGTATATATTAACCTTACTGTCACACTATAGTCTATCAATCTATTTATGCAAAATGGCAAGAACGAAATATAGATAAAAAGTAATAAAAACACTTTCTAAGCATGATAAGAAATACTTTTTTGTCGATAATAATAAGATTGTTTCTGATTGTAGCTCTCAATGAACTCTTCCATTTTATTCAGCAAGTGTTAATGTTAATGCTTTTAAACAATTCTATTTAATTAAAGTATGTTTTGTTACATTTCAAATTTATAAACATAAAGCTATAAATTATGATTGTAAAATGAGTTTAATTTTACTGAAAATGACGTAACAGTTTTACTCTTTAGTTTATGATATTTATAATTATTTTACCTTCAACATACATTATCAATTAAAAAGATTTCTTGGTTGAAAATCTTATGAAACTTTAAAGGAATAAAGTTATCTTTATACAAATGATCAGCTTAGATTTTATACAAACGTATTTATATAATAAGATGTCAAATTATCTCATTCGTTATAGAAAAAGTATTCTTTTTTTTGTTAAATAAATTTCTAAACGTTCATTTTTTTAATTAAAATTTGCATTTTAGAAATGTTATGATAATATACATTTCATACAATTTAAAGTTATAAAAATTTATAATCATGAATATGTTAAATATTTTCTTCTAACACCGATGTACATGTAATTAGATATTTCCATTAAAAGGTTTTATTTCAGGACTGTTACTGTACAATAAAAACAATTCTTTAAAAGACATGATTTGAAAATAAAATCTACTATCATTGTATTTTCCCTGTGACACAAAGGCCAAATCAATAACATTTAACATCGTTAGATGAAATTTACATGCATTTTATTTGTACGAATGAATCAATTACGTAATTCAAAGATATAAATTGTTGTTCTGCAAATGAGATATACTGCATTTTACTCTGTGACACACAGGCTAATCAATAGCACCATTACTGTTTAAAAAACACAAACCCCTCAAATATGGGTCAATCATTTTCCCTAGAAAGGTCAAACATATATTTTATGCTAATGAAATAATGGATTAAGATCATGTTTTAGGATAATCTCTTGGAGAAACTAAATGTAAAATAGCTTGTCATACAATTAGCAAAATGTATATAAAGTGGTATTTTCACTTCCATACAAAATACAAAGTCACTACAACTGTATTCAACTCTTAATTTAACTTGCTGCTAACTTTTTATTAGTCGAGTCTTTAAAGTGTACGATATATCGATTATCATCAGTATATAAGTAAAATTTTATATGTCGCCTTCTTTTCAGTTGCCTCCGTTTTTTTCATGCCTTTTATTTTTGTCTTAAATATACTCTCCCTATTCGTTTGTTTGCAGTTCTTTAAGTGATGCCTTGCTAGTTTGCCCATCTTGTTCAATTAAATGGTCAATGTATAATTATATTAAAAAGTTACACCCGCCCTTTTTGTTTTAAGACATGATTCATCTTTAGAACGTCTGCATTCCTTCGAATGTTCTTCTTTATATCTATTTCTCTACTACGTGTTACACATGTTGTTATATTTTATAGCTAGCACCTCGTCCAATAAAAGTTTGTCACAGCTTTTTAAACTTCCAAAAGAATGAAGTATTGGACTCAACAATGAACAATAACATCTTATGTTTGTAGGTAATGCATAAATGTACTATTGTACTGAATTCAAATTTTCTTCTTGGACCCTATTCTGTAATATTAATCTTATGAGGTAAGGTATCACTGTTACAGAGCGTTATGCATCATATAAATACTAGTTTGTGACGTCTAACATACATGTACGTGAATATCACTAACCTGTTCTTATTCAGAAATTGAATCATAGTTTGGGGACATTTCTGTTGAAAATATGTCAGAGTGTAATCGTATACATATACATGCACAGTCCGTTAACTTGAGTGCAGGTATTAGTTACCCGCACTCCAGAGCATGCCCATTGATTGGCTCATTTTTGCTGGGGTTTACTTATTGTGACGGCAGGGATAGTGGCAAGCGACAGAAATAGCATATTTAGATGCTTGTTCATAGGTTTTTTTTCCGGGGTTTCATATTGTGACAACAGGAAACGTGCTTTTGTGTTTGACTATGATACAAAAGAGAAAGAACATCAAAACACTCGGCAATCTGATTAATACTTGGGGCTACACCCCCTCGTACAAATCAAATAGCCTCGTGTTTCGATGCTCTTTCTATTACTTAATTTTGTGTGTCAATTTTAGAAATTTAACACAATGCCAGTTATTATTTGGCATGCATGTGTATTGAAATAAGATGGCGTTTAAAGCTTTTGTAGACATAACAAAACATGTCTAGATAAATTCAAAAATAAATCTTTTATCTTACTATTAAGCAATTATTTCAAAATATATCACATAAGTGTTAATGAAATGTTGTCAATAAAAATCGATTGTTTTGCTATCATGGTCATGCTCAAAAGTTATGAGTGTAGTGAATCTAAAGTAACAGTCACTTGATTAGAAAAAAAATAATGCGATTGTTTTTTTTTTTTTACTTTACTTAAGGTGAAACATTTCATAGGTTTAAACTATGCGAAAAATATGTAGGCATTTGTATTATATTTAAATAGGTAACTATGGTTTATAAAATATGTAACAATTATTTATTTATCTAGTATTCAGATATATCATTGTTGTTATTGTTACTAATTGACTGTGTAACTATATAACCGCAGTAATTATGATTTATTTATGTAGTATTTAGTGATCATATTGATAACTATTGATTGTGACACAATATAACCGTTGTACCCATGACTAATTTATGTATGTAGTAATCAGATATTATGGTAGTATTTGTTTGTTATTATTGTCATTATTATGAAATGATTGATTAAACATTTCTTGATAAATGAGTATTTAAATTCGATACGTAAAGCTGTCTAACGAAAATTCATCAGACAGAATTCATGAAATATTTCACAAGCGACTGACAAGTAATAAATAACGAACAAAGTGAAACAACATGACGGCATTTATTTTTGATTGTTATTTCATTTAGTTGATATTCTTTTCATCCGCATTCAGATATAGTCGGGCTACAGTGAAAATTATATTTTATTAATTTCACTAGTGGTTTATCAGAATATAATCATCTGATATAACACAGTAAAACACTGGAAAGCCTGAAATAAAAGTCTATACCAATAACTTATGTGCAAGCATATAGATTGTTCTGATTTTCCGGGATAATCATAATAAATTAATATGAAAAATAAGCTAAAAGTAAATCGACCAAAGGCTTTTAACTAAATCGAGCTAACATTCGCACTGATATTAGATTTTTAATTCAATTCTCCTTAGTAAATATCTTTGCAATATTTACATGTTTTTTCCTGTTTTAAGTTTTCCTGTTGAAATTCAAATTTTATTTTTCGTCGTTTGCACCTCAGTTGAAGTTCTTAAATGAAATCCCAGTAAATTAAGTAAATACCAAAATGTCAAATATTCGGGAACAGTATGAATTGTTTAAATGTCAACCAAATATAAATAAAAATTATTGAAATGAACGACACTGATTTACCTATTGTAATATTGCTCCTATCATCTGCTACCACGTGACATAAAATAGATATAAATCCCAAAAATATGCATTTCTTCGTTTCACTCATTCTTGTTTTTTTATAAATTCCGAACTACTTTTAAGATGAGGATAGAAAAAGACAACGCTCTAGGGAACACTACCAATTATCTGAAAACATCACTTGGTTATTTATATATAAAAAGAAGCTAAATTAAATTCCATTAATGTCGGTAACTATTGTTATTTCTAATAGAATTATATCCTACATGCATCAATTCTGGGTAACATTTTTCATTAAAGATAAAATCCGATTAAGTAAACTGTCAACAAGAAATCGATATAATATAGATAGAACTATCTCACTAACACTGGTGAAACACAAGATCAAATCACCAAACGTTGTTAATAATAAATTGAATTTCAGCACACTACAGGTATGATTATCGCTATTAACGGCAATTTCTCTAATCATTACGTACAGAATGAGACTGTGTAAGTGACAATTATTTATGACTAAATATCAGAACATCCATAAAATGTTGTAATTTGTTTCATTGTCTACATTAAAGAATAAAAGGATGTAAGAAATGTATCTAAAGAACTTGCATTTCAATTTAATTATAATTAATTTGGTGCAAAGTGAAAAATAGAAAAGTAACCGTAAATGTATATATTTTTTAAAAGTATTACAATGGGTAAATGATTGTTTTAAAGATACATGTAATAAAATTCGGATACAATTATATTTCAAAGATAAGAGCACTTATAATGTATATATTAACCTTACTGTCACACTATAGTCTATCAATCTATTTATGCAAAATGGCGAGAACGAAATATAGATTAAAAGTAATAAAACATTTTCTAAGCATGATAAGAAATACTTTTTTGTCGATAATAATACTATTGTTTCTGATTCTGAAAATTGTTAGAAACTCTCAATGAACTCTTCCATTTTATTCAGCAAGTGTTAATGTTAATGCTTTAAAACAATTCTATTAAATTAAAGTACGTTTTGTTACATTTCAAACTTAAAAACATAAAGCTATAAATTATGATTGTAAAATGAGTTTAATTGTACTGAAAATGACGTAACAGTTTTACTTATTAGTTTATGATATTTATAATCATTTTACCTTCAACATACATTATCAATTAAAAAGATTTCTTGGTTGAAAATCTTATGAAACTTTAAAGGAAGAAAGTTATTTTTATACAAATGATCAGCTTAGATTTTATACAAACGTATTTATATAATAAAATGTCAAATTATCTCATTCGTTATAGAAAAAGTATTCTTTTTTTTTTGTTAAATAAATTTCTAAACATTCATTTTTTTTTAAATTAAAATTTGCATTTTAGAAATGTTATGATAATATACATTCCATACAGTTTAAAGTTATAAAACTTTATAATCATGAATATGATAAATTTTTTCTTCTAACACCGATGTACATGTAATTAGATATTTCCATTAAAAGGTTTTATATCAGGACTGTTACTGTACAATAAAAACAATTCTTTACAAGACATGATTAGAAAATAAAATCTACTATCATTGTATTTACCCTGTGACACAAAGGCCAAATCAATAATATTTTACATCGTTAGATGAAATTTACATGCATTCTATTTGTACGAATGAATCAATTACGTAATTTAAAGATATAAATTGTTGTTCTGCAAATGAGATATATTGCATTTTACTCTGTGACACACAGGCTAATCAATAGCATCTTTACTGTTTAAAAAACACAAAACCCTCAGATATGGGTCAATCATTTTCCCTAGAAAGAGGAAACAGATATATTTTATGCTAATGAAATAATGGATTAAGATCATGTTAAAGGATAATCTCTTGGAGAAAGTAAATGTAAAATAGCTTGGCATACAAATAGCAAAATGTATACAAAGTTGTATTTTTACTTCCATACAAAATCACTACAACTGTTTTAAAGTCTTAAATGTTAGCAACAGTATGGTCCATGTGAATTTGTTTCCAGGAACTTCTTACATTATTAAATCAGGAAGAGATAAATTGTTGTTATAGCTTTTAAATTACCAGTATCTTTTGATAACAAACATTCACTTACGTTTACAATAACTTTAATGATTGTTTCTGAATTAAAAATGTCGTTTTTGCTCTATAATGTTTAAAGATATATTTAATTTAACACTTTAGAAAAAAGTACAATAATGGATTCCGGTGGAAATGACAGGAAATAAATCATCAAAGGTCATGGATGAATGCACGGATAGGCGCTTGTACACTCCAAAGCAGTGCAATATTTTATGTCAGTGAAATACATTCTAGAATAGTAATTGATAGTTGATTAAACTTGATATCCTGAAAATCATTTTTCAATTTTATGTTTACAATAAAATCAGAGTGAATCAATACTGTAACAAAGAAGCAAAATATTATATTTTGACGTTGCAAAGTTATATCAGCTTTAGTTGGAGAAACCGGGTGACCATATATCATTCATGTATGTGTAGGGCATCACTTTTCATGGAATGATATAAAGTTGTTGATTTGTAAATGACCCGTATAAACTCTTCTGAGGATGTCATAAAGTTCATTGTAACATTCATTAAGTTTATAGTTTCATAAGAATTATTGAATTGCCAATGAGCCGGTGCTACCGGGGGACTGGTTTCTTACATTTACTTTTGCAGTAAAATATTCAATTTTGCCGTGCTTGTCGACCTTCAAAATTTCTTGATTTCACTATTTTTGGTACATTTCTTGTTGTTTATATTGTAAGATATTTAACTAACATTTTTGGCTAATAAATTAAAAAAGTACTAGCGTACAAAATCTAAAACATTCCTTATAAGTGTCCTGTTTAGAACATGCTCGCGTATTATAGCATTATATTGTTATCAATTCCTCATACAAAAGTAAACAAATAAGACAATAAATTACTATAATTGTTTATGCAACGATATTGTATGTACGCTATTATTTTTGTCAGATGTTTTTTAAGGCAGGAAGCAGTGTTTAGCATAAAATATTAAACATGTTTTGTTGTACTGAAAATTGTTTGCTCGATTCTTCAAATAAAAAGTCCATTAATTCTAAATTAAGTAAGTTAATTCTAGAAAATAACAAAAAATAAATTTAAAGCAATTATTGTCATAATTGTTTTGTATCAGGAAACATTTTAGGTTTTCAATTAAATAAATATAGTTCTTATTCTAAATAATCATAAAATCTTCCTCTTTATTAACTTAGGAAGTACTTAAAATGATTATTCGCTAAACATTCTTCTAATGAACCAAATTTATTGACACAAATCTCGAAAACAATGTTGATTGCTTATGTTCTCGGTAATACATTTACATGATTTCATTGCACATGCCTCTAGTGGCGTCATATGAGTTGATACACATATTATATGCATGCATGCATTTAGAATGAAACAAGTAAAAAACTGCCAACGGTTAACATTCCCTGGTCTATTGTGGCTAATTTCATTATTTTGCTCTGTCTTGGTTGAAGAAGCGACAACAAAGAGAGCAACATAACTAGTAAAAACTATATTAATATTTTTATTGCAACAACTAACAGATTCAGCCGGAAGATTTCAACTTCAGTCCATTTGGATGGTTTCTGAAATGTTTTCCAAGAAATAAGAACTTTTGAAATTTGGATGTAGAACAAATGGGCAGTTTTCTCAAAAGATTAGTTACATTTACAAGAACATTTCTTGCACGAGATGACACAATATAAAAGAAGAGAATATTGTTTTCTGATAGTATTTAACAAATGAATTTCCATGAGTACAGTAAGTGCAGCTTTTCTTGATAATTGTCTGAGATACATTTTGTTTTACACAAAATGACATTTCAGTTAAAAACATCTAGTGTATGTTTCAACAGTTAATAACAGACACGTGTCTTCCATTAAATGAGGACGTGGTTTAGTGTGAAGCCTGTGCCAGTTATAATATTTTTCAATAACAACTATTTTATGCTTATCATGTGCTAAAGATGTGCGAATAGACCCATCCATGGCAAAGATGACATGTTGTGGTCAAGGAACATATTTGACAATACGGAGTGGTAAGATATATGTGGGTTGTCCCAATATTCTGTGACAATGTTGTTTAAAAGCTAAGTAAACTAAGTACGCATCTGATATTTTTATATGTTATAAAACCATATAATTGAAACATTTTCACAAATTTACATAGAAAAATATCAACAAACAACAAAAATATGCCGTAAATACCATGGCAACTATCTGAATCGCAGCGCACGTTGAACGTCAATCAACTAAAGGTGCCTTTCTCAAATATTCTCAATGGCTTTTAACGCAATAATGGGACAGCTCTACCCATAAATTGTCAATTACAAACTTAAATCATGTGGTTGTAAATGTTTTCAGAAGTCAATTGGAAATTTCTGTTTCACTATAACAATATATACTGATTATTTCTTCTCAAAACAAAATGATTTTACTTCCATTCTTTAAGTATGTTGTCATTCCAGGTGTGTTATTGTAACTGAAGTCGTTATAGAAAATGTAAGGTTTGTTTGTCATAGAGTAAAAACAATAATCAAAATACAATGGTTGATAAAATCACATAATTCAAAACTGCCTCCTGATATTATTTTGAAAATTGGCATATTCACAACGGATGAAAATATGTCAAGTTATCGTAGAATCTAAATTATTTAAAATATATAGACTAAAAATAGAAAACATGGTGTTCTAACCAAATTGTACTTTTTAGAGAAAGTTCTATTAAAAAGTAATGAATTCAATGAATCTAATGTCGGGATGTTTTTAACACGATATCAAATTGCGACTTGTTTAAAATAAATTCCAGTACACATCAGAATCAAATCGACTTCTTGGCAACTCCGGTTACAATGTAATTGAAATTAACCATTCTCCTAAAAATGCTCTACCTCTTTGAACGTCTTGGTTCTTATCACGTTGAGGACAATTGCTAATTTGTGGCTTTAAAACCAAATGATCCGCTTCGAGTCAATAAGTAACTCACTTCTAGCTTTGTATTCTCCAAGTCTTTAAAGTGTACGAGTTATCGCATATCTTCTGTTTATTAGTAAAATTTTATCTGTCGCTTTCTTGCTCTTTTCCAAATCGTCTCCGTTTGTTCATGGCTGCAACATTTTCAATTTTGTCGTGTTGGGGTTTCTTTAGA